ACTGAAACTGGATATGGCACCATTTTCTTAACTTTTTAGCTGCACCAACTGCACATCATCACTTCATGTTCGAGAATCTCATGGGAAGAAGACAAATGAATACTGGGTTATGCTGGGCCGTCAATATCATCCGTCATCAATATCCGTCGCCCAGTTATTTATGTTATTCAGGCTGTTTTAATGAAATAAGCTTTAGAATGGTGCTCGCAATTACCAGTTACGCTATGCTTTAGCCTATCATTCCCCTCAGAGCTTTAAAAACAGATTATGCATCAGTCCAACTAATGTCTATTACCGTAACCCAATTGTTAATGCATCAATGACCGAATGAAACACGCTCAACGAATAGTTGAAGCTCCGTAGGTAAACAGATCTAAGAGGTTTCGATTGTGCAGATCATGTTCGATTCGACAAAAAACATGACCTAAATGCATTTGCATTTTCTCTGTCTGGTTATGGAGGTGTTTGGCAGGGTAGATTGCGATCAACTTGACTTTTCCAAACTCCGAGGAAGGCGCAATGCGCCGGAAGGTCAGCTTCTGCGTAAATAAGGAAATAATAACACCTCGTGTTTGCTAAAGAAGATTATAAGGAATTGTTCGATCAATGCCAAGGTTAAATAGTGTCGGTCGTGGGAGTTATGAATTAAATGGATTTTTCACCATTTTTTAGTACTTACTTCTGTATAAAATTCTTCCGTACATTTCAGAAAAATTTAAAATAAGGGAACCATGCGAGTTGTTTTAAATAAAGTTCGAATATTTAAGTGTAAAGGAATATGCACAATGAAAACAGATTTGTGCTAGTCAACACTTGAAAATGTTGAAAGCGTAAAGCGTCTTTGAAAGCTTAAGAGCTTTTACCGCATAGTGTTTGCAATTCCGTTCAATTTACCATGTTTTTCATCACTCTGGATCATATTCTGGCTGTGGACGCTCAAGCGTTGCTTCAGGTTGGAGGATAAGACTTCATTCGTAATGGCTATCCCAAATAGTATGATTTTCCTATGCAAACTTTTTTTTAGAGAGACTTTTCACTTCAGTCTACTAAGTCCCGGTAGCAATCCTGATCTCCGAGAAAGTCGATGAAAATAAACACAGAATCGACTCATTCAACGTGTTTCTTTGACTCGCTCACAGTTATAGTCACGTGTGTCTGAAGAAGTTTCCATAATGCTCAACATACGAAGGAAACTGAAAATCCATTATTAAAGAGCAGCGTGACAAGAGCTTTGACTATGTGAATTAAGAAATGAGAATGCGCCGCTTCCGACGTGCTTACGTTCGAGAGGATCAACGTGGGAACCGACCTGGCGGCTGTCGTAGATATAGTATGAACTTCTTGAAAACCGCGCAATCGCTAACGTAATTGTCATACCTTCATCAGAACGACGTTTTTTTTTGCTCTTCAACAAAAGAAAAGGGTTAATGTCCAATTATTTACGAAGTCGGAGGGAACTGAGATGTTAGTCACGGCTGCTAAACGATTAATGGGACTACGGACGAAAGATCGTATGCGTGATTAAGCACACTGTCTCAGAATTTTTTAAAACTTCACTTTGATGTAAAGTATGCAAACAATCAGCTATCTGTAGTCTCATTGGTTGGTGTCTATCTGCAGTGTCATCATACGAGTATCAGGGCCATCCCAGTCCTATCCTTATATACTAAAGCAGTGGTTTTCGATCTCGCGCGAATAAAATGAAAAGCGTCATGAGCACTTTTCGAGATCGTCTTGAGGAAGCAAAGGAATAGCGTCTTTGAGATTTAAGTAATGTAATGAAGAAAAGTTTACTTAAGGGACAAATTTTAATATACGGAAGATTACTGATTGTTTTTTTTAATGGGAAATCGTTAATGATGGATCAAAATGTTGTTCATCAAATTCCTACTTTCTCATCGAATTTCGGTAAACCTAATTTTTCCGAAGAATCGAGGAGTGGGAGTGAGTTCATAAAAGTAATCTAAACGGAGCCATAGTTTTCATTACACTTCTAAAATTTCATTCTGGTATTTAATCGTAAACATCAAGTTCCTTGATCAAAGACCGGATTTTACGCAATACATTTGCGTAATACTTACATTTTTCTCATTATAGGGCTTTGCCAAAATTGTGATGAAGGGGAATAAGAATGCTGTGCATCACAGCAATCAACCTGTATATATATGGATCGGACTCGGAGCGTAGGCTCTGATGAAGATGAAGATGTCGAAACGTTAGCCAAATAAAAGTGTTTATCAACCTCGTGTAAGCTCATCAAAGAAAGAGTACATATTGATTAGTTATACCGAGGTTAAAGGAAAGTGGATTTCGAAGTTTTGAAATACAGCAATCGACCTTTTCTTGCTTATTTAAGTTCAGCATCCATTTGTAAGTACTTTTCAACAAATGCTGTTGTACAGTCACTTTTTTTCTACTGGTTATTCTTTTTTCATGACAGGGTATATTGTGAAATATAACTACAATGATGATGAAATATTTGCAAAACACCGGGACCTCAGGTGTCTGCGGTGGGGAACGAATGTTATGCTATGCGTTTACTTTCTAATGTACTATGCGAGTCGTTTGCTTCGGTTTTCTCTCTCGTTTTATTGACCTACAGGTGTATCAGCAATCATGCGTCAATGCCTGGAAAGGGTTAACAGCGTGTTGGTTCTCTAGCGCAGAGACCTGCGGTCCGGAGTTCTGCAAATAACTCAGCATAATTATGTTGATGTATAGTCCAATCATTATGCTGGACTTGTTAGTAATGATGACTGCTATTGACAGCTGCAGCAGCTCAAGAAGAAGAATGAGCTCTACTTTTTCTCTGTAAGCGAACGACGATACTGTAGTTGTTTGTCATTTTTTTGGCCTCCAGAGCCTACCAGCTGTCATCCTATCCTAAAATTATCTATATTTTTCGATTGTGATCTCAAATAATTATAAATAAGCTAAGTAGTAACAGTTATTTACAATTTGCTCTGTTGCCATTAATTCTAAGAAAAACCACTCAGCGAAAGTGCATACTTCATTTGCTTAATTCAATTCATTTGTACGCACTAGGTATTACATGCTAAGTTGTGCCCGGCCCGTGACGTAAGTGTCCAGACTTCACTTACGACCAACACTTCGTTATTGACAGAATACGAAGAAATATATTTCATGTCGAAAAAGGAAAATATTTGAAATTTGTTTCATAGCTGCTTTTGTTGAAAAGGAAAGCTTAAAACTGAACTCGTCCGAGGAAAAAGCGTTGACCCATTCATTATGAATGCGCCATGCATTCGACTCCATTAAGCATTGTAGAAGAAGATGAATGATCCATAAAATGGCTTACTGTCACCAAATGATGAATAAAATCAGGGTTTATTATTCTCTCAGATAATTCTGGTCCTAAATGGTCGAGAAAAGAGCAATAGAGGACTTGATTGGTCCGGGGAGCGAGAATGAACCAAGGACAACGTGTGTCAGAGAATAAACGCTAAAAATTACCGAATATGAAGTGTTCAGGTGATACACAGGAGTGATTTAGTAAATAACGAAAGTGTATTGTCATCGAACAATGCTCGCTCGGTAAGATCATGATGGCAATCGAGATGAGACTTATATATATTAATTTTCTTTTTACTGCTCCATCGTCATAAGATGTTCATGGCTGTTTATTAGCTCGGATTCAAAATCGGAAATGCATTCATCCAACTGGAATAGTCTCCTAATATGAGGAGAACCATCCAACATTCCCATTAGAAAGTTTAGGTAAGAACTAGTCCGTTCTAGATAAGAATAAGTCATACAAACTATCGAACTATCCGTGAAGAGTACCATAGCATGAGAAAAGAATTAATAGGCAGTAGTTACTACTTTCTTGGATTGCTCAGCTTACAATATTTAAATTAATGGGTAGCAAACAAAAAATATAAAGGCTGTAATTTCCGCTGCACCTTTAGCTTAATTGAGTTCAGTCCAGATTTGTGCTCCTTAGATCGTTCTCGCTGACGGTGATTGCTGCTAGCAGCAGCTGAGGAAAAATGGGTTGAGACAAAGACAAAGCAAGAGAGTCGATTGGTGGAGTGGGTAATATGTAAGCCTCCGGAAGGAGTAATCAGTGGTTAGAATCTGGCCTAAGGCCCGTGTTTTGCTCATGTGTCAGCATCATTGTGGTTGTATTTCACGTAATACGCTGGCATGAGGAAATACCAAGCGGTAAGTAAATAATTGAACATATCCGTGAGTAACCTAGAAAAAAGAACGGTTAGAGCGAAGAAATCATATCCAGAGTGTGCTGCCCTCCTGGTCCCTGTGGAAAAGGGAGCCAGCTCGGCGTGTCCTACTCACAATGAGGAAAAATGGAGTCTCTATTGGCGTCCGTTAAGAGGTTTTGGTAATTTAAGTAATGTTGGTGACAAATGTGCTAGTAGTTTATGAAAGACATGCATTTAATTTGTTTTCTTGTTTTTCCTAATGATCTAAGAGCCCTAACATTTTAGCTCCTAGTGTTCTTCATGATGTCGAGAATTTCTATCGGTAGAGTTTGGGTAAAGTACTGAAAGATGTCTCAATTAAGAGCATATAACCATTACGAAACTTAGTTTCCCTACGCATCCCAATTTTCACTAACTTCAGATATCAGAAGTAGACGATGTGCACATTTCATTAGCCATCATTATTTATACAATGCCACCGAAAAGACTAACTAAAGAAACCAATACAACTAAACTGAACTAAAATTGAGTTGGCATAATCCATATCGTAGTAGGACAATGTCGACTAAAAGCAGCTGTTAGCACTAGCAAATAGAGTGGACTCAGAATAAAGTTTTACGTGATTGGATTTGGCAGAGATTAATGCCCATCTACTAGAGCAGTCTTTTTTTGTGTCCCTGATGGCGAGTGCCTGAGGAGGAAAGTCGGCCGGAGCTTTCTCATTCGTCGGGCCACCACGTCATCTCCTCGCCATCGATCTGCCCGGATGGGGCGTGCGACAACGTTCATTCTGCCGTCGTGATGACGGGCAGCTGGCTGCTTCTCTCATTACTCCTCTGTTTTTTAAGAGGAGGGACAACCTCGAGCGCTGTCCCTTCTGAATGGGAAAGCTATCATGACCATGATGCGTTAGTCGACAAACTACAAGAAATCGTACAGGAATGTCCACAGGTGAGCGCGATCACAAAACATCCGGATTAGATTCGATGGATGACTTTTCTGTGACATCGACTTCCTCAAAGCCATTTTGTTCGAAGCGGGGATAACACTTTATTCTGATGAGATTTTAGAATATTCCAAACTAAAACTAAAAGCATTTAAGTCTAAAGGAAGTTTCAGGCTCAGAGAATCCGGCGATTGTAACTTAAACGGAATTACCTAACGTACTTTACCACTTAATTTTCTTTGCGTGTTACTGCCATTATCGACAAGCATGAATTCCTTCCATTAAAAACGAGACTCTTAAGTTTCTATGTGTGTATCCATTAATCTGTTATACATTAATCTCTTTAATTTGAGTGTTTCGCATTGACCTGTGAAAAAAGACTTTCGTGTCAACAAAAAATACTGCTTATTTGTATTGCTTGAGTGGATTACTGTAACCGAGATGATGAAAATGTCCCTGATGAACGACGTAGCTATGTCTAGAAACTCAGAATGGATAGCTGCTTTCGGAGTTTTTGTAAGCTTCTAGAAGAAGCGGAATATGGTCGAAAACACGTCGAAAACAATAAAAAGCAGTGCACTTAATGGATTATTTACTAGTAGGATACTTCACTTTCTGAATAAGTAACAATTCAACGTTCGCCAAATTATACATTAAAAAGGATAAAAGGATAACGCTTTCGGTGCATAGATCAGTCGCTTAGTGTTGCGCCATGCATTCGGCTTCATTAAGCAGCGTTTGGAGGTGATTGAATGCATAACTGGCCTTTACAATAACTCGCGGTGACCTACCGATGTATGGAGCCAGTGCTGCTATCCTCCCAGACAAGTGTGGTACTAATTTGCTGAGCCCGGAGGGATGGAAGGCTTGGTGGGCCAGGGACGCGGGGATCGATTCCACGTGTGTGTTACGGGTTGCCTTCGACCACTGTTCCACACGCGCCCTTAAATTATACATCAATGGGCGTTTATACATGGCCTTTTTTATCATATTTTTCTTCTAAAGGTAGCTCTCAGCATAACAAAACAAAAACGCGACGTTGTAAGGAATGTACTCTTTTTTCTCCTGACCCCGTTTAATCCAGTTCTTTTCGATCTAACATGGTGATTTCTTGGTCACTACATGCAACGTTATGCCAACCATCCTTCTTGGCAATCGTGGTGATAACGACGTCATTAGGGTGAATCTCGGTCTTTTCTTATCACTGGAATGGCAACTGAATCAGTTGAGTAGGGTTCTTCTCAGTTTTTAGTTCGTAATGAATGTGTCCAGCAAAACACATGGGTCTTCCCGTCCATGAAATTCTCTTTAGAGGCTCTCGCAATGGAAGTTTCTTCCCCATTCTATCCTGCTTTGAAAAAATCCTCATTTGTTAAAAAACTGAACAATCATATTCAAATTGTGGAATACTCGTGTTTTTCCTTAACTTTTTAGCTGCAGTTCTCTTAAATATATCCCGGAAAATTTATCCCGTTGTTGAGCACTTGTCTTTCTAAGTTTTGTAAAATTTTAAGGTTTCCGCTATATTTAATCCCCTATTTTGTCAGGGGAACAATGTATAATATTTTGCTTAAAATTAAGGATTTTTGCTAAGTTGTCCTATGCTTTCTAACCAAATCAGAACAGGTCATCAGCACTTAACCTGCTGTCCTTCGTTTCCGATTATCTCCAAAATCGTCGCGTTCTCCTTTATTTGACCATAAAACTCTATCTAAATGTTATACCTTTTTGTTTTTTGCCTACTATAATTTCGCGGCAGGGTACTAAGCGAAATACAACCACAACGTTGCTGAGATATTTGCAAAACTCTGGACCGCAGGTGTCTATGGTGGGGAACGAACGCGCCATTGTCCTTTCCGGGGAGTAACGCGTTCACCACCACACCATGCAGATCCTTCGTTTCGCCTGTCTCTCAGCTATTTTTATCGATCTTTGCCACAGCAGTCTTTCTAAATGCTTAGTCAAGGCTTATGAGATCGCTATTGATGATGAGAATTCAGTCGTAGAAGTTTACCCACGTCTGTTCCAGGTGAAGAATATCAAAATCTACTTCTATTTGCGTATCATAACAGTGGTCCTGACTATGGGACTGTATGCATCGACATCAATGCGTACGAGGCATCGCGGAAAATTTCCAATTATCCCTAGCGGCTGCCACAGAATACTCGACTTAGTCGTTTATGTAAGAAAACCATCATAAGTGCAATGATGGGAAGATACAGGTGATCAGAAATAAATTGGTCGCAAGTAATTAGAGTTGTAGTTATTAAATGTCTAATTTGGTCGCGTCCTTTTCTCAATGAATTACGCTCCTTTGTATAATTAGATTTTGGAGGCATCTTTTTTTGTTCCAAAATATATTTAATTGCTTTTCATAGCCTTCCATTATGATTTCGCCAACATTGGACGAAAAACGAAATGAGGCTAACATCCTCCTTTCCCTTCTTCCTTTGGAGCTGAAACAATGAAAGTCCAAACTTTCTGCAACTTGTTGCCATTGGATTGGTTGAGATTCTTATCATGGGAGTGTAGAATTGATCGAAACGAGCTCGAATCACTGGAGTATTCTCTGGCGGTACCGTACACTACAGTAACGAACATGAGGATGATTTTTAAGACACCAAGATACCGTATGACTTTATGCTGAAGAAAAAGTAGTGTTGCTTCAGAGCATGCTTCGGTCCTCTTTTCCTCTTAACCAATGCCCGTTTTACTTTTTGGGCGCTGGATTAATCCACCTAACATAGTTTCAATAGCGTCCCATTAATGACTGTTTTTTCTCTCATCACGTTTTTAGTATATTCATCCGTTTTTTCTTTGTTCAGAATGAAATTTGTTTCTATCTATTGGAGATAATTTTACTTCATTTGAAATTTGTCTACGACCTTCCAATCGCTTGAGGTAAATCTAAGCTATGGCAGAAGTGAATTTTGCCAAGGAATTTCATTTTCATATGGTAGTGAAACGTTAACAGAAGCAAGATGTAATCAAAATGAAGTACTTAACAAGTATGGGGCAAGTAGCGAAGGACTTCTTTATCTTGAAAGGTTTCAGCGGATCTCCTAGAACCCTTGACTTTTCATGTCGACCTTACGAACTTTTGTATAGGCCACTAATAAGTGGTTTAAACAACTACATGGTGGGCCTTTTATTATATTAATGTGATAAAAATTATTACCATTCTCGTAAAACTTGTACTTAATAAAGAACAGTAGTGACTATTAGCTTTCGCTAGGAGTTAGTTCGTTTTTCATTGTTTTCCTTCCAGTTTTCCGACCTCACGACAACTTTTGTCACGTTAAAATATTCCGCTAGAAACTGAGATAAGTTCTAACCATGTCTTCATTATAACGAAGTTAAATTGGCATAATTAAGTCTGGTTAGGTACAGGTGTGGAATCGAACCTAGGGCTACATTTTATATTGCAGGGTATTTCCTATATCTGTACTACACAGGTCTAGAATTCATTCTTGAGCATATACCAAGCAATCTTTATAATACGGTAGAAATAAGGTGGCAGTCAGCCTAAGACGAATCTTCAGAAATGTTTATAATACACTCAGTAAATTTTAACTATACCTAGTAGTCCAATTCTGGTTCATAACGTACTCAAAAGGAAACTTACTTACAGTCGTCCTTGTGTAAACGATGTTGACCTCTTCACAGTTTCCAAAGACCCTGAGAACTCTTCTTTCTTATGATTCACATTGTTTCTCTACTTCCAACTGAGACTTACGGAGTTTGCCTTCCAATTCCTTAATATTTCGGAAGAATCTGATACAGAGGGTCGTGTTATATTCTTTAAGTTCTTTATTTCCAAATCCCACATATATTTTTTGATTTCTTACTGCTTATCGAACTGGCGCAACAAAGGCTAGCTACGTGAATTAGGCGAGAGGATGCTGTAATTTCACTGAGGTATAATAAAGTATAAAGGATAAAAAAAGCTCTTGGTGCTGATCAATTCCGTAGGGGAGCGCTGTGCCATCAACTTCACCGAGCACCGTAGAGGTTAGTGAATGCCTATGTGACCCATGGAATGACATATTGTTGCTAACAATTATGGGAAAATTGAGGACACTCAAACGCTGTGACATCAACACATTTCTATGTCACATATTTCATGTTAAGAGCGTGTGTAGCGCAGTAGCTAGAGGTGGCGTGCAAAACATGGGTTCGATCCCGAACCACAGACTCATCAACCCTTAAATTAATTTGGGGTGGGAAAATTGGTGCCAGACCTACTAGCAGGATAGCAAGGTACTTATTACTTCAGTAGGCCACCACAGACATTCCATAGGTCAAGTATACTTTCAATCACCTCAACCGATACTTGATGGAGTCGAATGCATGACGCATCCTTCAGGAATTGTTTAACGTGGAAAGCTATATTCTTTTTCCTTTAATAATCCCATCAAGGCATTGTGTCTAATCCTGACACACAAGTTTGGCACCAATTTGTCGACAACAGAGAGCTATAGGGACTTGATTTGGGTAGAGCGCAGGATCGAATCAGGTGTCCCGTCTGTATTACAAGACAAATATAACCACTGCGCAACACGCAGAGAATGTTTGTAAAAGTACCATGGCGTAGGACTAAAATTCGTCGCTTTTCTTTAGAATCGGATTGTAACAGCGCTTCATTAATAAAATTGTAACGAAAAAAAGACATCTCCATAAGCTTACAACGTTATCCAAAAGCAAAAAAAGATTATGACCGTAAATTGTAAAAAGAAAAGCCAAATAGAAAGTGATTTAAGACTGAAACCCTAGCACTGAACAAGATTACGATATCTCTTAAGTGCAAAATTAGAGCATTCATTAGAAACTGCTATGACTAGTTGTCTTTAATCTCTTTGAATTACTTGCCTACTTAGAAAAACAAGCCAAGATATATTTAGCTGTTGGTTACGCAAGCGCTTAATGATATTTTGGTCCACCAAATAAAGGAAACTTTTATTGAGTTCTATAGCCCATCTTCATTGGTACTGTACAATATAAATGGGCGCGTGCGACGCAGTGGCTGGAGGCGCCACTGCGACACATACGTGGAATTGATCTCCGACCCCATGGCTCACCGAGCCTTTCATCAATCCGAGGTCAGCAAATTGATACCAGACTTGTCTGGGAGGATAACATCACTGGCTCGATAAATCGGTACGCTACCGCGAGTCATTGTAAAGGCCAGATATGCATTCAGTCACCTCTAACGATACTTAATGAAGTCGAATGCATGGCGCTCCTTCAGGAATTGATCAGCGCCGAGAGCTTTATCCTTTAGTTACCGTACAATATCACTTTGATTTTTCTGCCAAGCACACAGCGCCAAGAGCTTATCTTAAAATAAATTTCTTTGCTACTTGTAAGCTTTCGAATTCATAAAGAGTGAGTGTCGCATTAATAGTTTTACATGTTATAAAGTTACTTTGTAAGTCTTTGCGAAGAAAACAATAGAAGATTTTAATGGAGGGCTGAATTCAACACGGTAAGATGTACTTTCGCCATCTCTGAAATTCTTTACTTTGTTACGAACAACCACAGTTGCTATGAACCACCGAGTTATTTTACTTCTCACACATAACTAGAGAATTAGAGGAAAACTTCGAAAACTTGACTTACGCTTTGTTAGGGCTCGTGTGGTGTAGTACTTAGACGTGCTCTGCTGGACAAACGTGATCATGGGTTCGTTCCAGCAATACTGCATCATATATTCTTCCATTCATCTGATAACGGCAAACTGGGACTGTTGGAATTGTCTGGAAGAATAAAAACACTGATTTGATATATCGGCGGACCATCGCAAATTACCGCATAGGCCGGTTTGCATTAGTTAGCTCTACGGTGTTACGAATGGATTTCGCTCCATGGCACATCCAGAAGAGGTTGATCAACGCTTTACCCTCAATCATAACCTTCAGAATCAACTACGTACGTAGTCTAAAAATGTAGTGGTTGTTCGTTCATCCGTTGGCTGGAAAATTCGCAATAAAATGTTTCGATTCCACTCTAAGGTTCAATGAAATAAAGCACCTAATAATTGAAAAACGTATTAAAAACTAGTATCGAAAACTATTTATTATTACTAGAAAAACACTAGATTGAAAAATCTGGGCTTTAAACTACAAGATATAAAGATAAAATGCTTTCAAAAAAATTCGGTTCTTAGGTAAAGATCATTTTTAACTTAAAAAAGGGATAAAAAAGGGACTTTCGGCGTTGACCGTTCCATGAGAGATGAGCCGTGCACTCAGCTTCATTAAGCATCGTTTGAATGTATATCTGGCCTTTACAATGACTCGCGGTGGCCTACCAACGTATCGAGCCAGTGCTATCCTCCCAGACAAATCTGGTACCAATTTGTCGACTCCGGAAGGATGGAAGGTTTGGTGGGCCATGGGCGCTGGGATCGATTCCACGTGTGTGTTGCAGGGTGCCTCCGACCACTGTGCCCTATTCTTCAGTTATTTGCAAAAAAAGAGGGGTTCAATCATTTCTTATATTTTCAGATTTCCACTCTATACAGTATTGGTCGGTCAGTTCTAGGACGTGAACTGGTTGTGATTCAGTTTTCAACAACACCATCAGAACATGTGGCACGTAAGCGAATATCTCGATTTTTACCAATCCTCAATTGAAATTTGTGCGCTATAACTGCATCACTAGAGTATTAAACACGTAATCTTCTTTGAAGTTTTTCATAGTTAGAGCTATCGGAATAAAGCGCCTTACGGAAAAATTTAACGTAGACCTCGTACCAGCCATGAAATCCAAACGCTGCAAACCGATGATCTTCCGTAATTTTGCAAGTTAGTGTTTTAAAGTGAAAACATTTTTGCTCAGTGATTTGCAAAACTCCACACTGCAGGTGTCTTCTGTGGGGAATGAATGCGCTATTACCTTTTCCAGGGGCTAAAGCGTTCACCAGCACACCATGCGGGTCCTTCGTTTCGCCTGTCAGTTAGTTCTATCGGCGTCATTTTGCTTTCCAACAACCTCATAAATTAAGTTTGTGTCTGAGGCTTAGGTCAATTTATAAGTCAAGTATGAAACGGCCGACATCCCTTGCACTATCTTTTGTGCAACTATTTGAGGAATGACTCGAGTGAGAAGCAACAAGGTCTCCTCTAGTATGGTAGAACAGCCCAGTGGGTACGGTTCATCTGGGGCAAACGAACTACATCGTACTTTTCTATGAAGTACTCTGTTCCTTTATTTTCACTGATATGGGTGAAGAGACACCATGATCCCGAATACCATAAATTTACTCTAAACTGCCCATCCAGCTGGAAAGCCAGGGCTTCTTCTAAGCTTGATACCATTGCATAAGGATAAATAGCTACCCATGATGAGATAACTGTAGGAAAACATTACCTATCTGACCATTGATCATGGATAGGTGTAATGAATGCCTTCAGTTCACTTTCTATTCTGCGTTCCTTATCCTTTTTCCATGAATTTCCGTCTCATCTATTTCTATTCCTAACATAATAGATCTTCTCTCTACATTTCGCTGTTATTACCTCAACACCAACAAATTACCTTAGCATTCCTCAATCTCCTTTAGTTGTTGGTCAAAATCTCCACACTCCATCAGATTTCTTCTTTCCTCGTTTTGTATCGTTTTGTATCCGGCTAACTAATTCGATATCTGACAAAAAAAGCTAAGGAATAAATGATAAAACTGTCGCTGTTGAACAATCTCTGAGGGATATGCCATGCATTCGATTTCATCGAGCATCGTTGAAGATGAATGAATGCATATCTAGCCAAAGCAATGGTTTCTTGTCTCTTATCGATATATCAAGTCAGTGCTGATGTCTTTCTCGGCGAGGGCGTCTGGTACCAGTTCGCCAACTCCAGAGGGATGGAAACTTTGGTGTGCCTGGGGCAAGGGTTCGAACTAAACATGTGTGTTTTGCATGGCTCCTCTAGACACTGTGCTTCCCGCACCCGCTTGAAGTTCAGTACTTATAATAATTTCCTAGCAACGCCATTAATATTATTACTAGGAACTGAAGCATAATATACTTATGTAGCTGGCTAAAGGGTTGTTACTAACATGTTATCAAATATGCTACGGTGTCTAGTTTTTACATTATCTCTCATTAGCACTAGTAAGGTCCTTCTACTTATTTTAGCCAGTCCTTCCGGATACTGTAGTTGGAAAATCTAAAATAAAACTTGTAATTCACCAATGGTAGCATTGTTCTTAAGGAATGAAGCCATAACAGATATGTTCTTCTAAGACAGTGCAATTATAGCCAATTAAAAACTACAGCTAGGCCATCGACAGAAAAGAAGAACTTGCCAGTGGCGGGGATAGTGCAAATTTACACCGTTCTTCCAACTCATTTCCTTTGTTTTCCACGATTGTTTAAAGAAAAGCTAGAGAAGCCAGTGAGTAGGAAATTGCTGTTTGAAACCAAATAAATATCAAGATGACAGTATCATGAATTTCTATCAGTACCTAATATCTAGTCTCTTAGTAAAATTTAGTATAGGCGTTAAAAAGGCTTAGGTTTGACTTCTATCATGTGCTACAGTGAATTATGAACAACGGATTATGATCACATTTTATGAATGGTGCTGAGATGTTTGCAAAACTCCGGATCACAGGTGCCTGCGGTGGGGAACGAACGAGCAATTGTCCTTTCCGTGGAGTAACGCGTTCACCACTACACCATGCGGGTCTTTCGTTTAGTATGTCTCTCAGCTGGTTTCCTATCGATCAGTGCCATCAGCAATCACCCGTCAACGAGATTGATCTGGGTAGCCCAAATTGGCATTGAAGCCAGTTAAGCTGAGACTGTAGTTGAAGTCAGAATGTTAACTCTTTATTTGCCGCCTACTACAATTTTTTATGGCATGGTGTCCTATTTTTACTACGAAAAAGCAGAACAGATTATGATCTTTCTTCTTTTTGGTACGATACCTACATTATCCATTCCTGTTACATCATAATTGTCAGCAAAAATACGGAAAATGATGCTGCCGATATCGAGTGAGAGGCGAAAACTTCTTTGCGTAGTTACAGTAAAATAGACTTAGCAGCATTTCATTCATTCAGACGAATAAATTGCAAAAACCATCCAATCGGAAAGAATGGCAAACGAAAGCAAAAGTGGTACTAGAGCTCCCATGCTACTTTTACTACATAAAAATCAGCTAAATATCGTATTTGTAATGCAGTGCTCGGCGAAATTTCTTCCCCGCCGGGACAAAGCCTGCAGTAAACTTGAATTTGGTCCGGTCTATCCAGTTTCATTCCCTTAATCTTTCTTGCAGGAAAACATCATATAGCATTATTACATCTTAAAGCCCATCTGAAGAGGTTGAGAATGTGACTTTACCAGCATCAGTTGCATGCGTGACCGTTGACAATTCAGTGCATTTTCGCTTGTCATACCACGTGTGTCAATAATATTGACGAAGCTGATATTTTTTGATCGATGGTCTGAGGAATAGGAGATTGCGTCGATGAATAGCCTAGATCTAGGAAACAACTACCGTATACCCACAATTGATGTTATTTCATTGCGTCACATGCTTACTGTAGTGATGTCCTTAGTCTAAAAAGTATTTAATTATTTTAAGCCGTGCTATGCAAATTAACTGCTTAATGCGGAGGTCTTAGCAAGATGTTCCATTGGGAAAAAGTGACTTTATCTTTAAATCCCGACATTTCGATATTGAGAAATTCGACATCCTCAAAATCTTCAACTAACCGATTATCCTTTAATTACCTCTAAATATTATTCAAAAATGTCAGACTATTAAGTGCTCTACAAATCGTGTAGTAAAATGGTAACATTGAATTTTAGTGAAACCGGAAGTTAAGTATATTGGAAACATCCACGGTAATGAACCCCTCGGGCGAGAGCTGCTTATTCGTCTTGCTGACTATCTTTGCGATGCAGCAAACAAGAAGGATAAGGTTTGTCAGACTTCTAAAGACTTTAATTTAACATGTCGTTAAGCAGAAATAAGGTAAATTAAAAGTTTAGAAAAACGCTTTTAGCTGTAACTGAATGTGAAAGCGTTAGTCCCCGGAAAGGGTAATGGCCTGTTCGGCTACCACCGCAGACACCAATGGTCCGGTGTTTTGCAAATATCTCGCTAACACTATGGTTATACACATAATATGCTGTCATTAAAAATTAGTAAGCAGTGAATAAAAATTGACGATATTTGTGAAATACATCCACGGTGATGCTGAGATATTCGCAATACTTGCAACCCGGGCCAGATCGAACCAATATTTCCCTTTTCGGAGGCTCGCATGTTACACACTAGACTACTGCGGCCTTACTCTGCCTTTCTCTCATCAAGTTTCCTACCTAGCGGTGCCATCAGCAATCACCTGTAAGTGGGATTGATCTGCGGAGCACAAATCGGTATTGAACCGAGTTAAGCTGAGGCTTTAGTCGAAATCACAATGTAACATTTACTTGCTATAATATCAGATAATTAATATTATTATCTGTATTTGTTAGTTGTTCTTTAGGAAGTGCTTCAACTACTCAATTCTACATCGATTCACATTCTACCAACGATGAATCCAGACGGTTTCAACGTCGCACTGAATACGGTAATACTAGTAAAAAATTCACTTGGTCGTCCAGAATTTTCTGTATCATTGAACTTGTGTTGATGCCAGAGAGGAATCCTGAAGAAAATGAATCGCTATGAAGATAGCTTCGAAGAAATTCCGATTGTGGAAAAAACAACATCGTTAAAGTAGACTTGATGTATTCTAGTATGAAAACCTCAGTGTATCATCAATCTGATAACTTAGAGAAAGATTCCGCACACATCCGGCTCAGAGTCGGTCAATATAATATATGTTCCAACTAGTCTGCAGAAATCGGGTTAATCTCATCTACATATTTGTGCATTCATGTAAACTTTTGCCTTTTAGGATCCTGCCGATCGTGCATGGTTGACAGGAAGGGGCAATGCTAATGAAATTGACTTGAACAGGTGAATTTTGTTTCAGTACTCGTTATTAATCCGGACGGGAATAGTACAGTGGTTAGAGCAGTCCTGCAATAGAGAAATGATGTTTGGTTCGATCCGCGTCCTGACCTCGCCAAGCCCTTCACCCTTCACCCGGTGTTCGGTAAATTGTACTCAAGTCGTCTGTAAAGGTAATAACAATGAATTGGCGATACGTCGGTCGGCAGGACCACGTGATTCACTACAAGCAAAAAATGCATTCATTCTCATCTATGATGCTACGAGTGGTGTTGAATGCACGATGTGGCTCGAACATCATGTAGCTTTTATCTCCTAATGAACCCTGCATCATCTTACGTGCTTGGGTGTTTGGATGGCCCGTCGTCACTGGTTGTACGCGCCCCAGTATAATCTTCGTTTTGTCGAAGTTTTGTTCGTTTAGCCATTGTGGTTCTCTGGAGTCCCGAGGTCAGTCAGATCAAAGTCTGTCCCAGGTCGTCACTACCATGAGCAATTGCAGCTCTTGTGGATCAGAGGAAGATTTGCCACCATGCGACTTTGATACCAAGACGGTGGTGGATCCTGGTCTACTCTTAGCTAGGCAAGCTTCCTGATGGAAACGACGAACTCCTTCTCAACTAGCGAGACGCTACCGGGGAGACGAAACCTCCCGCTGTACATCGCAGTCCGACACCCACATACACCTAGCAACGATGAGGCAGTAAACCGTTAGGAGGATATCATCTTAAGTGAAATCGAAATGTAAGAAGACAGCGAAATAACGGCGATGGATAATAAACAAAGGGAAACAAATAAAAAGGATAGGAAGAAGAAATGGAAAAAAGAGGATTGTGTGGTGCCTCGATGGAAACTCTGGGTTGTGAGTCCCCACCATCAATTTCTCTTCCATTCTCAACGGCTTCACATTTTCTAAAGATTTCATTAATTCCTGTATTATAGCACGATGTTGCTTGCTTCTTCAGAGATTTCCCGGAACTGGATGAAGTATTCTACGAACTCGAAAAATTGAAAGTCCCGCGATTTGATCATCTTATGGATTTGTTCGTTGATAACAAAGAGGTACATTCACTGAATATCCGTACTTTTTGGGTTCGCTCGATCTAACTCTTCGTCTCCGTTCTATCCATATCTATCATAGTAATGCTGCAATTTGATAGCGGGCTCGATTTTGCTGAAAGTCAATGGTCTTCGAGAGAGAATTAAGGAATGAAAAATCATTATAGTAGATTCTTAAAATTCTTATCTTAGTTTTTTGAATTTCCGTTGACCGGTAATTGCTGACAGCACTGATAGATTAAAAACATAGCTCATAGCTAAGAGAAAGGCGAAGCAAGGGCCTCGGTTAGTATATTGGATAGCACGTGACCCCCGAAGGGATAATCACGAGTTCGAAACCCATCTGAGATCACGAGTTTTGCTCACATCTCATCCTCGTTGTACTGTCATCTGATTATGAACTCTTAGCGCTTCTATACCTTGCTTAAATTTTCTTCATTTATGAAGAATGTTTTCCTTATAAAACGAATTTTCATTGCAGCGTCAGCCAGAGACAGTAGCAGTTGGTCGCTGGACACTTTCGCTGCCGTTTGTGTTGTCAGCAAGTCTTCACGAAGGCGATCTCGTCGCCAATTATCCTTTCGATTCAGCAGCGGAAAAAGGTGTCAATGCCTACTCGGCTTCACCTGATGACGGAACCTTCAGGTTAGGAAATGGAATAGACACTTTTTATTTTTAAAGTTGAGAAAAGCTACGATCAGATCCAGTTACTGTTGGAAGTGCATTATTTTAAAAAGGAATTCTAACAGCTCTCATGACGTGACCAGCAAAGTCGAATGGTCATTAAAATTACGTAATTGCCCTAATCTTCTGGAAAAAAAAATCTAACTGCATCCATACAACAAACAATATGTGTTCGAAGTCGCGCCCAATATGAAAACCCGTGAAGAAAATGAAGTCACCGGGTAACTTCTCTTCAAAATTTCGCGTCAGCATGAGAAAAGAGGATCTAAAAAATTAAAAGTTGTCCCAAATTCCTACAGTATAATTAGTATACAGTAGATTAAATTAGTATAAATTATATAATTAGTATAAATCCGGCTGAAATGTCATAAATGATACCAACTAAGGCTCCCATTTCTATTATCACCTGTAGTTCGAGTGACTCGAGCAGGCGCCAGTAAATCTTCCATTTTCCCTGTCGCGTACAAGAGTAGTTCAGTGGGTTCTGCTCGCTCTAGGAACTTGTCGAGCATCATATATTTCTTCAAGGCTTTTTGTGAAGAACTCTAACCATCGGGTCGATAGTCTTCCTGCAGTACGTTTGACATCCCGAGAAATCCAGTCACTAACGACTCTTGTCCATCGGTTACCATTCATGTGCATTACTTGTCCGGCCCACCTTCTCTTCGACTGTTTGGCGTACAGAACAGCATCTTTGGTTTTTGATCGTTGACGCAGATCGGAGCTTCATATCCCATCCCTTACCTGTGTGGAACGGGATACTCCTAACAACGTCCTTACGACTGCGCGTTCGATAACGCTGAGTGACCTTTCTTCCTGCTTACGTAACGACCAGGTTTCTGACGCATACGTTAGGGTAGGAAGTACCGTTGAGTCGAAAAGGTGGGCACGGAGTCGGGTGTTCTTTGTTCTCTTCACTACATCCCCGATTCTCTTGGAAGCTCCCCAAGCCGCCCGTTTTCCTCTGCTCAGCTCTGTAGCTAGGTCGTTCATCATATTGATTTCCCGACCTAGATAGATATAACTGACGCATTCGGAAATATTCATTCCGTTGAACATGAATGGAGCATGCGAAACCAATCCATTCTTCATGAACATCGTTCCTGTGAGATTTAGTCGAAGACCAATCTTTCCACAGGCTTTATCAAAGTCGTCAAGCATGCATTCCGCTTGGCTAATGTTTGGTGTTATAAGGACGATGTCATCAGCAAAGCGAAGATGGTGCAACTGCCGACCATCGATTTTCACCCCATATTATCCCATTCCAATGTTCCTATAACGTTCTGGATGGTGGAAGTAAATAATTTTGGCGAGATAGTATCACCCTGCCTAGCTCCTCTTTTGACGTCAATGTTAATATCGTTTTAGAAGGGTGATACCTTGGTTGTGAAACTTTTGTACAGCTCACGAAGAGTCTTTATGTTCTTAGTAGGGACTCTTTGACTATCAAGGGCTTCGAAGACTGCTTTTATCTCAACTGAATCAAAGGCCTTCTGTAAATCGATGAAAGTGAGGCAGAGCGGTCTTTTGTATTCTCGCGATACACTTTAGTGACTCTTGTTATCGCGTGGATGTGGTCCATCGTACTAAATCCTTTTCGAAACCCTGCTTGCTCACACGGCTATCCTTCGTCCAATGTTCTGTCAATCTTGTTTAGGATGATTCTGGTGAAAAGCTTGCAGACGAGAGACAGCAGGCAGATTGGGCGATAGTTGCCGACATTGTGTAGGCCATCCTTCTTGAACGATAACACGGTCTTGCTGGTCTTCCACTGACTAGGGACCTTGCATTCAGACAGGTAACGTGCGAAGAGCCAGGCCAGTGCGTTTACGAGAACTGGCGGAAGGTTCTTCAGGTGTTCTGATCTTGTCCTCTCCGGACCTGGTGCTATTCGATTTTTCACCGACGAAATGGCATGTCGGATTTCGGAAGGGAGAACCGGTGTTACAAGATGTCCATACTCCTTTATTTCATATGACGGGAGGTGGACGTGGTTACCGAAGAGATCGGAGTAGTATTCGTAAATGATTTTCTCCATTGCCTTTCTGGACGCTGTAACTGTTCCGTCTGGCCGCCAGAGTGCGATCATTTTGGTCATGTAATTGGCGAAGCTTCGGTGGACTTTGCCAATGCTTGCCCCAGCCTCTGCAACTTCTGCCATTACTGCTGCTCTTTTCTCTTCAAGATCTTTTACCGCCTATCTGCATTGCTTTGCAAGTCCAGACGTTAGTTCGCGGTTGCCTGCAGCTCGTGCGATTCCATGCTAGCGTATTAACTCGAGTGTTTCTGGAGACAAACGTCTCGTGGTGACTCTCGAGCTCTCAGCTTTCATAGAGCTAGCGTGAAGATGTTGAATTAGCCGATCGTATCCTTCGTCGATGTTATCGACAACGGCATCTTCCCAACAGCCGACTAATGAATTGAATAATTCCCAGTTTCCGGTGGTTCTGGGACTTCGGTTTTGGATTTTAGCGGCTTTTTCTCCTTTCCGCGAGAAATAGAATCTTGCACGAAAGAGATGGTGGTCTGATCCCGTGTAGAATTCTGGGACAGCAGTGACATGGGTTAGGCAAACCCTCTATTTACTATGATGTGGTCTATTTCGTTATAGTGCTCTGCACTGGGAGAATCACACGTCCAGTACTGAGGGTGGGACTTCTGGAATTGCGAGTTACCACGGATTGTCTTGGTCGCCATGATAAACGCAGATAGCCACTCACCCTGTTCTTCCCATTCTAATTCATGGGTCCCAATGTGACTTTCTTCAGACGTTCTTCTTGGTCCAATTTTGGCGTTGAAATCTCCAGTGATGACCTTGAAGAATGTGTGGTCTTCTCTGTTGAACTTCTCCAAGTCCATGTAGAACACTCCGACTTCTTCTTTATCATAGTTTGATGTCGGCGCTTAAAGGACGAAGATTGTCGAAGCTGGAATTGATCCACGTCTTTTTAATCGTAAACGTCCGATTCGGGTTGTAAATTGTTCGAATGAATCGATGTTCACGGACAAACTCATGTTGTCGAGAACGCCGACGCCGCCCACTCCTCTACTGTCGCATGGTCCGAGGAACAGTTCTTCTCCGGTGTCATGGACGGCGTTGAATGGGTGGCATCGTCTCGCCTCGGCCAGGCCGATGACGTCGTACTTTCTTGCTTGCATGATGAAGTCCTCTATCGAGGACTCGGATGAAAGTGTACGTGCATTGTAGGTGCAGATCGTCACCATACTTCTTTGAAATCCAGGCAGCTTCCGTTGGTCCTGAGATTTTAGCAGCCTCTTCGTTCTCGTCTTACCCAACGCTACGAAATTGGGGCTCTTTCGGTGTCAGGGGAATGAGGGTCGGTTTTTTTAAAACCGTGTTTAGCATTTTTGATACCCACGTATAGCTTGCTGGGCTCCGAACGTGGGTGTTGGGTGTACTCACGGGTAGCTTGCCAGGCTCTTCCGGAGTGGAGATGGAGTTTATTTGTTGGAAGTGACTCCTAACCGCCTCCCATATACTTCCCAGTTAATTGGTTGTACGCTTTTGGCCGAATTAACCCGTAGAATGCAATCCGCATAAGCGAGGACGCACCCACACACGCGTGCATGAATACACCTAGCAAATACAGAAAGTACGTGCCAAATCAGCGCTTCAGAAACAAGGACTCCATACCCTGCACCCTCCTGCGTCTCAGGAAAGCAAACTCGCTTTTGGTCCGCGATTAACCCCCCTATCCGCCACCTGGGGATGCGCCACGTAGCCTCGCGACTAACCGGCTCGAGGTCCCTCATGTGAGAGGGATCCGTGGCCCATTCCTATAGAGTCGAAAAATTATTAGTGCTTTTGTATAACAAGAGTTTCATGCAAGCCGCGAAATCCCGGAGTCAGTCGGTGTTGGAGCTCTGGGGACCTTTTAGCACCAACGATTTTAGAGAGATTCTACTCATACTCTGCCAGAATCCTATGGAATTCATGAAGGTATTCCTTGGGTGAAAGCCAAACTCACACGTGAATTTGAAGATCTTTGCTGACGATGCATGCTACGCAAGAAGCCGAATGAAATAAGCACTGCGGTCGTAATAAAATGTGATTTTGTGAAAAGGAGTGTAAGGTGAATAGGATAAAGCTCCCGGCGTTGATCTCTTCCTTGGAGGTGCGCCATGCATTCGACTTCATTAAGCATCGTTTGGAAGTGATTGAATTCATATCTGGTCTTTACTATGACTCGTGGTGGCCTTTCATTGTATCGAGTCAGTACTGCTATCCTCCCAGGCAAGTCTGGTACCAGTTTATCGACTCCGAAGGGATGGATCGCTTGGCGGGCCAGGGGCGCGAGAGTCGATCCCATCTGTTTTTCTGGGCGCCTCCGACCACTGCGCCACAAGCGCCCATGTGGAAAGGAAGAACATATAAAAAATTGTAACGATGGTAGAGTTTGTGAAAAGACAAAAGTGGTTGGACGCGAAGTCGCAATACTGTCATGGACGTATGACCTGACTGAAAAAGCCAAGTAAAAGATACGTTCGCATTAATTTTTTAAGTAGTCTAAGAAACACGTCTTATTTCCGCTGATGAAGCTGTTGTTATCAATTCACATGCTAACAGAATTGGTTCTAAACGTGTGAAACGGGAGCAATGTGGGAATCAAAATGTGAATTTGACGTACAGAACGAAGGACAACGATATAGGATCTTTCTCATCGCAGGAAATTCAAAATCCACTGTAGATGGGAATTCAATCCAGGCATGAATGACTTGCACTTCATGAGAAGTGCAATGTCTCCCAATGCATGACAAAATGTTTCGGTTACACAGTTCCCTCTTTTTTATTAAAAATGATACTTAAAAAACAGAGGGAAAACGCTCCCAAATGTCATAACATCAATCATAATTTTTTCTTTCAAAAAAGAGGATTTGTTTTGGAGTACTTCAAGCGAGAACAAGGGATATTACACAGTTTTCTGTAACTATAAACACTATTAAGGGGGCCGATAGCACAGTGGTAGTGATGCTTGTCATCACGAATGCCTGTTATCGAGCATGGCGCTAGGACGATTCCACTCTGGACCAACCAGGCCTCTCATCCCTCTGGGGTCGGAGGATTGGTGCAGGCCTTGTTTGGGAAAAAAATCACTCTGCATTCCAATTGGGAACGCTCCAGCCCGGTTATCTCAGTAATCCAGGGAGAATTGCTCGACTAGCATTCCACGACATTAAAGACGAAATGAAAATTCCCAATCAAGAACCGAAGCCACGCACAAAAGTTGGAAGATCTTCGCGGACAACGCATGCGAGGCAACAAATAGCATGTGATGTGTGCTGGGATCCGCACAGTAGATGTGAAGACGAGTCAAATAAAATGAAATAAACAAAATAGACACCATTAGGTTTCAAACGAATCTTTTTGCGAAGGGTTTTCGCCATTATTTTTCAATGAAATCTCCTAATTAAACGAAGTCAACAACGAAGGAACCTTAGGTAAATATACTTTCCAACAAGGACATTAAGAATCGTATGAATAACATTTTTACTCAATATTAAAGCTATCGTAGAAGTTCTTTCTATTTTAAAGATGGTTGGCCCAAACTTATGCGAAAAACCACGCTCACATGGCGAAGAACGACCATCCTCCATGTGACGGTACAAGTGAGGATGCGTTTGCTAGGCAAGGTAAGCTCATCAAATCCTCGTAATCGAGTTCTTTTCTCACAACGAACAAAGAAAATATGTTTTTGAAAAGCAAAACTGCGATTGCTGCGACTAACGTAGCTCTGTTGAAAGATCTTAAGTCACATGTAAAAATATGTTCAAATGTCCGTTTATTACTTTTTTTTCCTCTGTCATTTCTTTCTATACATATCGAAATCCTATTAGAAATACAGATTTATTATTTCCCATTTTGAAAATACCTCTTGGAAAAACTTTTCTAACTTGGAGCGGTTTCGTTTAATGTGTATTTATAATACTAACAAAGATCATTACATGTTCTTCTAACGTCTGTGTTTAGGAGGAATTACAAACGGTGCAAAATGGTACTCAGTGTCTGGTGGTATGCAGGACTTCAACTACTTAGGCACCAATGCCATGGAAATCACTCTGGAATTAAGTTGTGAAAAGGTATCATCTATACCACAGACAACGTTTTTAGCCATCGAGCAATTCGAATGGATACCACTAAAGTTTCCATCCATTCTCCTATTCTTAAGCCTAAGCCAACGAAATCCACTAGTAAAGCAGATACGAAGAACTTTTTATGTCCTTCGTTCTCATTTTCGTTAATCAGAATCTAGTCACGAGTAACTCAGATATGCCATGGCGCAGGTGCTTACTCTTAGTTGAGCTCACAGTGTAGGATATCGGGTTACTCAACGAAATAAGCTAGGCTGCTAGGTTGTAAATTAACAGAAATCGTTATTACTTCGCCGAACACATTTTCATGAAAGGCATTGCCTTAGCTAAGCCTAAGTAATTAAGCATATTTTTATCATTTTCAGCAGATCCATTAGGACTGGGTAGGATACACAACCGCTTGAGATTTTTTCAGATATTACCATGCATTTTTTACTTCTTTCTGTAGTCGTTTTTTCTTGATTTAATAAACTATCCATGATTTAAACGATAGTAGGAGAAAAAATGCCGGAAACAAGCAAAATGCCGGGTTTTGTTCCTTGTTTACGATCGTTTTTGATTCATCATCGCTTTTCTGATCTAAATGGTGTAGTTTGGAGCTACAAAAAGTGGAACTATAAAGAAAACAGCCACTAGAAGTTTACGAGCGAATGAAATAACGTTCCATTTACACTCCAGATTTGTTCTACTCTTACACCGTTCAAAGCCGCTTGTGGCGCAGTGGTTGGAGGCGCCACTGCGACACATGCGTGGAATTGATCCGTGCGCCCATGGCTCACCAAGCCTTCCATCACTCCGGAGTAGGCAAATCGGCACCAGACTTGTCTGGGAGAATAGCAGCATGGCTCGATGAATCGGTAGGCCACCGCGAGTCATTGTATAGGCCAGATGTGCATTCAATCAACTCCAAACGATGCTTAATGAAGCCGAATGCATGGCGAATCTCTAAGGGGTTGGTGAACTCCAAGAGCTTTGTCCTTTATCCTTTCCGCACGGTTTAAAAACATGATTTTTTTAGAAGATCAATTCGTCATTTACGTTTCGGAGAGTGCAGTTCAATCGTTGTAGACATAAACGTTCATTAGATTCCTAGATTTGTTACATTTCTTCCGTTCTTAGCAGAGATCATTCTGACTGATTAATGTGATAACGAGTAGCAATTGATGGAATTGATTGGACTAATGGACATAATCTTACTGTAAAAAGTTGAAAAGCTAAATATTTTTCACAGAGCCGTTCACTGTTGTTTCAGATGCCCGAGGGAAAACTGCTGCCACAATTCTGGAATGACAACAAGAAAGCGTTGATGGAGTACATGTTCGCTGTGAGTCCACCGTGATTTTGCGGCACCTTCGAGAAAATTTATGCAACATCCTGATGATATAACCTATTAAGTAATGTGGTTGGCTTATGAAAAGACTATGTCCGCTTAAGCTTATGGAAAAAAATCAGTCTGCTGCTAATCCCTGTGGGTTTTTGGCTCTGGTTAATCGTCATACTTCACTTTTCCCTACATGGAGGACTAAACATGTTTTGTGTGGTGATTTACTCGAATATTTGTTAAAATTTGCTCGTGGGAAAACACTTTACCTCTTCCTTCAACATGCAGATTTTTTTTGCCTCTAGTTTCTTTCAACATAGGACACAAAGACCTAAATGAGATGAGAATCTAATTCTCTTACTTCTTTCATTTAACACTTCATTTCACAAGATGTTACGAAAGGCATAGATTGAAAGATGAATTATAGGTCCATTCTGGAATCAAAGGTTTGATCACAAATGCGGTAACCGGTGAGCCAATCTCGGAAGCTGTCGTGTGGATACGAAATGGAACCGATCCGATGCCAATCCGCCATCCTGTCACAAGCTGTGGGTATAATGTCACCAAATTTGATGCATTCGTCGTTGTAAGTAAAATAGAGCTGTAAAGGGTAATGCCTTCTTTGTTGACAAATTCTAGAGAGATGTGCCATGCATTCGACACTGTCAAACATGGATTATTCGTAGAGGTGGTTAAATGCGTATTTGACCTGCACAGAGACTTCTTAGGATTTGCTGATCCAGCCAGCAATGTATGCCTTCGGGACTAGTGTTCCTACCCTTTCAGAGAAGTTCTATACCAATTTAAGCACCCTAGAAAGGCTGATCTCTTGGTTACTTGGACCGTCTGATCGAGAAAGAATTTCCGTGTTTATCACACGGTATCTCTAATCGCTGCCCTATAAACGCTTTATAATCTTTACTGTTCTAAGCCTATAAATGAAATCTTTCATTACCTCTATGTATATGCAAGATTTTACCAACAAATACAAAGCACTTGCCGATAGGCCTGTTCTAAACCGTTTTTTTTGAGTTCCGTCCGACAAATCAAATCGGTTATGAAGGAAAGAATGGTAATTGTGATAGCATATGTAATTAAAGAGCAAGAATAGTCGCTCATTAAACAGCATCGAACGCTACTTAAAAATAATTTAAGGGCTGCTCGGCGACTACTACCGTATTCTACCGGTCGGTCAATACGAAGTAATTGTGAATGCCGAGGGTTACAAGCCGGCAGCACGTAATGTACGTAACGGTTAACAATAACACATACGGTGAAGTACCGTAACCCCACAGGTAGTTCTGCTGTTCGAATTGGTGCGATAGCATTGTCGTTTCAGGTGACAGTAACCAACAAAGTCCGCGATAGTGCTATGACCGTCGATTTCGTCCTGGAGCCGATTGCTCAAGAGCAACCAACTGTGAGTTTCAACCGTAGTCCCAAAATGAAATCGAAAAAAAAATCTTCTTGGTGGTGAACAATTGAACGGATTGAAGCTGATGGATCAGAAAACTTGAGCAACACAGATTTTCACTGCTTTAGCAGTGAATGCTCCAAAATCGATGCTGTCGTTGATTATATATAACCTTTCTTTCTTCCCCTAAGCTGGTAAAATCCGTTTCGAAAGAGTCTGACTGGGAAGCATGAATTCGCCAATATTCTTCAGTGTTCTATAAGATTTCTTACGAACTGAAGTGACCTAAAAGAGTTTGAATATCTCATGCAGACAAAATTATTCGCATATTTGGAACGAATTTTGTGCTCAAGAGGTTCTTTGTAGATCAATAATCTCCTAGTTTTAAGCGCTATAAGAGCAAAGTAAGTAAACCAGGTAGAATTCTAGACATGACATTCCGTCGACACACTTCAGTCATCCTGTTTTTTGTGCGACCAGATATTTTCGACATCAAGCATTTTGACACCAGTCACAAAGTCGAAACCAAAAACCACTCTGATAGCCGCGGTGCTTCTTGATTACGGTATCCATAGGCGTCATAGAATTCACGTCATAGAATCTCTCGTTGAATAGAGATAATAAAGGATAATGGATAAAGTTCTCGGCGTTGATCAATCCCTGAGGGATGCGCCATGCATTCGACTTCATTAAGCATTGTTTAGAGGTGATTGAATGCATAACTGAATGAAATCTGGCTTCTACAATGACTCGCGGTAAATTACCGATGCATCGAGCCAGTGTTGCTATCTTCCCAGATAAATCTGGTACCAATTTGCCGACCGAGGAGGTATGGAGGGCTTGGTGAGCCATAGGCGCGGGGATCGATTCCACGGGTGTGTTGCAGGTCACCTCCGACCACTACGCCACACACGTGAATAAGGATAGCTAATCAAAAACGTCTTCAAGCAGGAGTAGAGCTATTACTATTTTTAATCATTAGGTAGCAACTTACTGCAGGAATTACACGTTTCTTAGATATCGAAATCAAAAAGCGATGGGTCTTCCTGCCAACAAATTTTTAGCGTTTCCGATTCTAAACTGGAGTTATTATAATTTCAATTTTAACTTATTATTTATTGCCTACTCTCTTTAACGGCAGAGTATATATTACGAAATATAACTTTAATGATGTTGAGATATTTACGAAACTCCGGACCGCAGGTGTCTGCAATGCGGAACGAACGCGCTATTGCCCTTTTCGGGGAGTAACGCGTTCACCACCACACCATGTGGGTCCTTCGTTTCGCCTGTCTTTCAGCTAGTTCTATTATAATTATTTTCGGAAAAAGACGAAAGTCCAGAATTCGCTAGGTGACTGGCAGTTAAATTAAGTAGAAGCCGCTTTCTTCTGATTGGCAGCATGTGTTTCTTAGCCCGACATTGATATCATAAATACGCGCCATTTCATCTTATCATCAAGGTTAAATGAGAGTTGGTATTGATATCTGTCTTATTTATAAACTAATTCCTGTCTACCATAAACAGAATGAAGTAGATATTGCCCTGTCCATCACGTCATGGTACCATATTACGACGTTGATCACATTCCGACAGAATGCAACACGTTCGAGTTAAAAAGCTACCCCTTTCCCTCATATCAGAGATATAATACGCCTTACTTATAACTCTACTACTGATACATTTGTTTCGTAAAAATCAATCCGTAATATTTTAGGACGTGGAAATTGCGCAACTTGTCGACGCTCTTCAGCAACAGGAAGAATAGATCTCTGTCGATGTGTATATCACCCTGAAGTACGATCTTTACAACACTACGAGTCTGTCCCAAGAATTTCACATTTTAATCATATACTTTCCATAAGCTTCCACAGCTTCCACTAACAATTTCATTAGCAGAGAATCTCTATGTTTATTCAGAAATAAATGTTAACTTATGCTCATCTATAACAAGCAGTCACACTGATTCTTTCTTTCTAAGAATGAACTCCTCTCTGTTGAAAGCAGAACGGTAGCAAAAGTTTCAGATGAAAACGAAGGGAAAGGGTATTCATGATAGCATGGTCAAATAATATATACCGTAGTGTCAGCGAATGACAACTACATTACTACGAAAGCACTTTAGAAGTCCGAAAAGACGTAGACCAAAACAACAGCATACTTCATTTCCCATTTATCTTAATGAACAACAAATCTTATAATGATCCTACTTAAGCTGAAAACAAAGTTGTACTAAACATTCTTCGTACCAAACAGAGGATTACAAGCCTACGATTCCGGTTCTCATAATGCAGTGTGAACTTATCCCATTTCCTGTTATAAAAATTTAACGAATATATTCTCACTTCAACGAAGGAAGTAACTATGCAGTCATAAATAATAGAACGAATAACAATGGATTTCGTCCAGAGGTGTTTTTCTGTGTCTTGAAGTGTAGAAACAATCATTTACTCTTAAGACAACCACAACTCGGTTTTCGCAAACTATCCAGAGGTCAGTACACATTGCAGAGTTATCAGTATACAATATTGATTAAGTGCTTCTTAGTTTTACCCTTTAACTATATGGCGTGTTAACAAATTTTACGAAGTTCCGAAGAACAGTGTCCCCGTAGCAATATGGGCCACATCATAAAACCTTAAAAGATTACGTAACAAAAAACATGCCATTTAAAAATATCGATATAAAAAGCACAACATAACATGAAAGGCTTAAACTAAAATTAAATAAATAAAATGTTCCAAAATCGATGTCTACCGAAGTGCTCATGAAAATGTGTCCTTCTAAGAGCATATACTGAGTAGGTGCCGATCCATCTTATAGCCTGAAAATCAACCAGGTGATCCTACTGTGGGCAATAAAAATCGTAAAAGAAAACAAGTCCGAGTTCATATAAAAGGAAGTTTTCATTTAACAGGTTATTTATCAACTTATTATTTCTTTACCTGGAAAATAAAGATAAAATATAACGAACTGACCAACCTTAAGGATACTGAACAGAAATCGTGCTACTGACCTGTATAAACGATCAAACTTGTTGATGCATGCTAATGAAACTAATGGATGAGAAGCTTCACATTGTTTTAACCCTCTCTCACCAAAACGGTTAGAAGAGATGGTCTTGAATTAGTGGGACTACTCACTCAAGAAAATCACCCAGTTAACATCGCTAAAATAATAACGAAAAAAAAGAAGCATAAGAACTCACCATGTTTCTTAGCGCACGGAAAATGCACAAATTTATTCTCAACCTTGATAGAAGCACCCGAATTTTTACAAATCCAACATGACTAAAACTAAATTAGATGTACCAAGAGAATTTGAAGATATTCTAACTACTGATCATTAAAACAATAGAAAACTTTTAAAAAGTTCACATATATTGGTAAAAAAAAAGGACGAAGTTCTCGGCGCTCATCAATCTCTGAGGGATTCTCCATGCATTCAACTTTATTAAGCATCGTTGGAGGCGATTGAATGCATATCCGGCCTACACAATGGCTTGCGGTGGCCTACCGATGTATCAAGTTAGTGCTGCTCTCCTCACAGACAGGTTTGGTGCCGATTTTCCGACTCCGGAGGGATGGAAGGCTTGGTGAGCAGGATGCGCCGGATCGACCCCATGGGTATTCCAGGGCACCTTTTACCAGCGCGCTATACGCGTCCCCTATCAGCACGAATAGAAATCTACTTTTTAAAATGTTTCTCGATATTACCAATGCTAAAACGATTACCTCACATTTAATTTGGCATGAAAAATCACTACTGCTCACCTGTTTCCAAAACTGATGCAATTTTTCCTCTAATTGTGTGAGCTGATTCCCTTTCAACTGAATATCTGGTGCCCAGAGAAGACAATCGCCATGGAACCAGACGTCTATGCAGTACGTTTCACCCTTTGATAACTAGAATAATATTGTGAAAATACGACAATAATGTGGAAAAGTACAACAAACATTGGCCATGTTTCTATCTTGTTTGTTAAATTACACCGATCAGTCACTTAAAGCTGAAGAATGAAATAGCAAAAATGCTTGAAAACAAATGTGCCAATCAGCTCGCTCCCTTCATAATGTTTCTTTTACTACAAGGGTTCAACATGAATATTCCCTTGGACACACAAATAAGACGACTACAACAAGGAAACAACAGGGAGGTGATTAAAATAATCTTACTTCTTATCGGATGTGTGAATTAATTACTCAAGAGAGACTGAATGAACAAAATTATCTTTGCATGGCCATTGACAGAAACCTTTCCGCAATCTGAGTATTATGGCATCAGAGGCGAACTAATGTTTCTTACACATAAAGCATCTAGTAACATGCTAACACTAATTTCCCCGTAAAAGTCGCATATTTACAAAAAATCCTGCACCACTTTCGTTGACAAGGTTAGTGATGAATTGAATGACATGTGTATCCCATTGTATCAAGAAAAACACATCATTGATCGACATGCTTCAATCTGACCAGTGATAACTCTCGTATAAAAGAACGCATGAATCAGCTGCTGTACACAGATAACAACGATGAAGTTGTTAGCCAGCGTCGCCCTTCTTGGATTGGCACTTGCATCTACGTTCATGTGGGACCCCAGGCCCCAAATCTCAGAGGAATGGTTTGAAACCGATCGGGAATATCGCTACCTTTTCGATGGTCAAGTCACCACTGGAATGGATCTGCCGAACACTCAGCAATCTGCCACAAGACTCCAAGCTATGGTCTCGATTCAGCCTGTTGATGATCGCACTGTTGTTTTCAAGGTTACACAGATCCGCTTCGGTTCTATCATGGAGGAGTTCGAGGCTCGTCAACTCTTGCCTTTTGAACGCTTCCAAATGGTCAAACTTAGCGAGCAGGACAAAAATATGCTGACTTTACCGATACGATTCGCCTACAGAAACGGATTGGTTAGCGATATCGAGTTCTCTGAGGAAGACAAGCCATGGTCTGCCAACATCAAGAAAGCTATTCTCAACATGCTCCAAGTAAGAATTGGATTCATTGACTTACCACAGAACTGATTCATGATATAATTTGCAGATCAACCGCCCAAAGAGAGATGAACTCAAGAAAAACGAACGCGATGATAAAAATCATGACTACTTCGTCGCTATTGAGGTATGAGTTTTGGTTTTTCTAACATATGCGCACAATAAGGAGAACTGCACTATTTCAGCGCATACTCGAAGGAGAATGCGAGGTTGAATACACCATCAATGACATGCCAACCGAACAGAAGCAGTGGACCAAATCGATCAATTTCCAGAAATGCAACATCCGTCCCGAGGCGGGTTGAAAATCTACGACATAAGTCAGTAAAGGAAAATCAGAGTATTTTGTTCTTCAGGTTCAATACGGCATCCATAATCGTAACACAAAGAAAAGAGATGAGAAGTTGTACAGCACTGTCATGAAGCAAAAAGTGTCAGAAAACAAGGACAAATTCCTGATCCACGAAGCAGAACTTCGATCTCAGTACAAACTGGTCCCCATGTCAGAGAAGCACGAGATGATTGCTTCTGTTGTCTACAACAAGATTACTCTCATCTATGCAGGAAAGACGGAGACTCAAATCCCGAATGTGCGCCGAGATCGCAAAGAGAGCTTGATCTACAATTCAGAAGCGGAAGTCGCTGAAGAAAAGTTCGCTATGACCGGAGATGAAAGATACCTGCAACACGTTCCTGAGTGGAATAACAAAATGGAGCACATTGAAAAACTTCTCTCCACTATCATTCGCAATTTCGAAGAAAAAATTGAGCTAGAAACCACTCACCTTTTCGCACGCCTTGTTAAGCTTCTACGTCTATGCCGTGAATGGGAACTCACTAAAATTCAACGCTTCCTAGAAAACCATGAAAAGGTCAACCACAAAGTTCTTAGCCTCTACTACGATGCTCTTGCTATGGCTGGAACCAAGGTGACTATGACTGAACTTGTGAAATTGATCATTAGCGAGAAGATCGACAATCTGAAGGCCGCCCGTCTTATCAAGTCCTTGGCTGAAATTCGCATTCCATCGGAAAAAATGGCTGAAGAAGTACTATTCGTCTGCGAGAGTGAAGTTGCAGAGAAGACTCCCTACCTCAAACAGGCATGCTGGTTAACCTACGGAGCAATTTTCAACGGACTCTGCAGAAATGATAAGTTAGCTTCCTACCACGTTGACAATCTATGCAAACGTGAGCTCAAGGAAAAAGTTGTTGGTAAACTGATAAGCCTCTTCGAAAAATCTGATAACCGCTATGAGAAGGTGCTCATGCTGAAGTCTCTTGCTAATGCTGGAATCGACATCTCTGCCTACTCCCTTGATAAAATCATCTACAACAAGGAAGAGGAAAAAACCATCAGAATTGAGGCCATCAATGCACTTAGGAAATTAGGAGTTATTATGCGACGCAAGGTTCAGAACATCTTAATGCCAATTTTCAAGGACCGCACTGAATGTGCCGAAATCCGCATGGCCGCACTCCGCAGAATCATGGATACCAAACCCGAACAAGTTGTCATCGATCAGATCGTCCATCAGATGGAAAACGAACGTGATCAAGTCCTCCGTTCCTTCATATATGCAGTCCTTAAGTCTGTCTCCGAGTTCCCAGAAAATGATGAAAAAACTGTCCTTCCTGTCAAGAAAGCCCTAAGAGCAGTCGACACAGAGTTCTATGAGAAGCTCAACAACCGCGTATCTAGATGGACTGTTAAAGGTGATGACATGAAATACGGCACCACACTCAATTTGCAAACCCTTTTCACCAAGGACAGCGCTCTACCTAAAGATTTTCTTGCATCGTTTGATACCATGTTCGGTGGGGAATGGTACAAGTACTTTGGTGAGCTTGGTTTCTCTCAACAAAACGTTGACGAGGTCATGAGCAAGTTCCTCCATAAGTTTGAAGATGCCAATATGGAGCGATTTGTAGTCCGTGGAAAGCGCTCCGTTACCTCTCGAACAAGTGACTTCTTCAAAGCCATCTACAAAAAACTCAACTTTGTCCGCCGCCACCACTCCAACAAGGAAGACCCTCACGCGATGCTTTATGTTCGTTACATGGATAACGATTATGCTTTGCTACCAATCGACGAAGATTCTATCCCGAAATTCTTCAGGGACATAGTCCGTGACGGAAAGGTTCAGCTTGGTGATATTGAACGCACTCTTGCTACTGGATTCCAGTTCCAGAACACTGCTGGATTCTTCTTCTACGAATTTTTGAAGAAAATTCCAACCAGTCTTGGTCTTCCTCTAGTGCTTACCTACAAAATGCCTACCGTCGCCACTGTACAAGGTCACATCAAAGTTGATTTAGAACCTAAAGGATCCGCTGACTTTAACGGAATTCGTGCTCATATTCTTTTGAAACCTAAGATTGCCTCCACTCATGTAGTAAGAGCTGTGGCCTTCTGTCCAGTCGTTGAGAGTGGATTCAAAATGTTACACTCTGTAAACTTCGACCATCCAGTGGATGCTGAGGTTAAGGTCACGCTAAAACACCAGCTTCGTTTGAACATTGTCTTCCATCCTCATGAACGCAAAAGAAACGTCATTCACATTCAGTCACGACCCGTTAGCTTCATGCGCCACTTAAAAAAAACCACTCATGCCTACCCTGAGCCAAGTGAAGTCACGGTCCATCTCCGTAAACAACTTTACCCGGTCGAGAACTTCGAATACAACTTCTTTAGAAAGTACGGATCTCTTCTGAAGGTTGTGGGAACCACGCACATCCCGGTTGTTCGTAGAACTGGAGGCTTGTTGAACCCTCTCTTAGTTGGATACAATACACTTGATGTCTTCATGGAGCCCACTCAGGACGTGGCCAAGGAATACGTTCTCAGCATGGAAATGGAAACCTTTGTTCCAGAAATAATTGAGAAACCAACACTAGAGAAATTTTTCAAGAACAATAACGAATTCTTCGAGCTGGATGTTGACGACTTCGAACCGAAACGCATTGGAGACCACAGAAGCCATGTCTCCACTTACCTAAGGAACTTTGACAACGAGAAGGGTTACAAACATCGTCTATTCTTCAAGTTTGAAACCGTTGGACAGCGTAACAAGAACGAGATGGAGATGGAACTGAAGGCTATCTGCGACAACAAGTACCGCTTCTGTCGCACTCGACTTCTGGCCCATAGCACTCCGCAGGAGATGGAGAATCGTAGGTGGGAAATGAACGTTGAAATCCAAACCGTCTACCCCAAAACACCAAAAAGCCTCAGTGAGCTAAAGGAACAGGTCAACCGCGAGTTCTATGGACTTATGGACGCCTCCTGGGGAAGCCACAGAAAGAACAATGTCTTCATCCGCATGCAGGGTGAGCAAAGTCGCGAACAGAAGGTTTGGATGAAAAATCTCAACCGAGCTTTTGAAAACAGGCTTACCGAAATGGAGAAGCTGAAGCTCGCCTCCAATCTCAACCTCTACAAGTGGATTATCAAGTACGAACTAACTCCAGAAACCGAATACCACCTGTCAAATCTTTTCTCTCTTCTTAAGAACTTGCAAAAGTGGGACACAGAATATGAGATGGTCAACAATCAGGAAGGACTTTTACGCGCTCAGCTTAACATTGAACCCGTAAATCGTCGCACGTTCGATCTCTTCCTCAACACTCCTCGAAATCGTATCGTCATAAAGAAGGGCGCACTTCCTATGAAGCTACCGACTATCAACATCCATAACTCTAATGCAATCGAATTCGCTGGGGTTAAGGACGTAATCAGTCATGTTGTCAAACAAAATCGCGCTGAATGCGTCATCAAATCGGAGAACGTCAACACCTTTGACAACCTCCCCTTCAAAACATCTTTCACTACTTGCTACACCGTACTCGCCAAGGACTGTAGCAACGAAGAACCGAAATTCGTCGTTCTCATGAAAAAGCTTCAGAAAAGTCGCAACGATAAAAAATTGAAGCTCATCAACCGCGAAAATATCTATGAGATTGAGATGCTAGGCAATGAACTAGTCTGCAAGGTGAACGGTCGCAAGGTTACCCATAACCAGATGGAGCAATACGGCTTGAATAAGATTCATGAAAATCTCTACGAGATTGGCATTGGTGATGTCAGTGTTACCTTCGACGGATTCCAGGCCAACATCAAGCTCTCGCCATTGTACAAGAACAAACAGTGTGGACTTTGCGGACATTACGATGGAGAGGTGAGACTTTTGAAAATCTCGATTCGAAGGCAAAATATAAACGCACTGTACATATATGTATATACATATGCATAATTCGCTATGTATATATATATATATATATATATATATATATATATGAAATTGAGGAGTGGTTATTCCTTATGCCGAACAAAATACATACTTTCAGAAATGGAACGACCTTCGTCGTGCTGACAATGAGGAAACCAACGCAATCCAGGATTTCCATCGCAGCTATATCACCAAGGACAATGAATGTGACTATGAAGAAAGCGAACTTGAGAAGGACAATCAAGAGCTTGAAATGGACCTAAAAAACCGCAACTACCGTAGTAGAGAAGAGAAGGAACTCAACGATGACGATATGTACAGTTTCGACGAGTCTGATGACGAAAAAGACATTCGTAGTAAGTCTCAAGTAGCTGTAAAATATATATTTCCGTGATTGTTGCCTATCCAATTTAGAGCCGACCGCTCGTACTCGTGTCGTAGAACGCGAGAACCGTGTATGTTTCTCTGCCGAACCTGTGCCCGACTGCCCGAAATACACCAGGAAGAGCGAAATGACAGAACAGGAGGTCGATTTCGTTTGCGTTCGCTCCTCAAAGCAAGAAACCAGACGCCTACTTCGTAAGGCTCGCGAGGAGGTCATTCCGCGCGCTCTTCTTGAAGGCCAGAACTGGAGCACCACTGTGCCAATTCCCAAGAGCTGCGTTGTTTATTGATAACTTAAGATGTCAGCAGAGTAAATCAATAAACGTGTGAAACTTCAATTTGTAAACGAACAGCATGCAAATACACGGGATAACAACAGAATTTACTTCGAAGTTTCAGTGGCACTAGCATTTTTATTGAACTACTACAGAGATTTCCAGAGTGTGTAAATTCTGATAAACGTTGACAGTCAAATGTTTAAGATGTTGGAACAATGTGGAACTCCTGAAATTGTGACCTTCTGTGTCACAGACAGGTTTCTCACTTCTACAAAATGTAGTTTGATTATGATGCTTTAAAAAACCGAAATGTATACGAGATAAAGGTCATCTGTAATAAGATTACAGACCAACGTGTCAAAGCCGGTGTTAATATGGAGAATCAAGTTAGTAACGGATTTTTCTAAATGGTAACCTAGCTGAAAGTAAACGAGTGTTAGGGATATTACAGGCCGTGAAAAATCTTTGTCGAAAGACAGAAATACTCTTCCACACCCTTTAAGAGAGTTAGTAAAAAACTGATAAGGAACCGAACACCTTAACACTGTCATCCCAGTTTCCAAAAAAATAGGCTTAATTAGCGTTCAAGATATGAACGAGTAAAAAAATGCGACAAATCTCCAGATTACAGCCGAAACCGCATATAAAACTAACCAGTAAGAGGAATGGCAGTTGCAAAAGAGCTAAACAGAGATAGTAATGCCATGACGCAGACAAAACGTCATGAAGGCAGTAAAAATATCTTATCCAAAAACCTATGATATCAAAAGGTGCGCTGGAGGTAAACAAATAAATGCAAGGTAACTAACTAACTGGGATTGTTGGAAACAAATCTTCGTTTCCGTGTACCAATTTCAATTGAACATTACATTATGAAGTGTATATAGTGAGTGTATATACCTTCAACGACTTCCTTAACAAGAAGCTTGGCCAGTGCCCTTCACATCGAATATTTACGTAATATGGACCAAACAGATCGCCTAGTTCTTCTTGAGCTGATCTTTGATGACACAAGGCGCACATCCACAACGTCTGCAGCGCATCCGCTCGAAGCTCGATCTAAAATTTACCATGGGGCCGTTTAAAAAAGCAGCATAATTGCACAGAATGCAGTTTAGGAATACCTGAAAAGTTCGATTTATCTGCGTTTCCTCTGCTCTTTTCAGAAGGTTGTTATGAGTTTCCGAATTTTGTATTTTTGGCAAGCCATTTTCAGAGACACCTATCTATAATTTAAAAATGTTAGGAAAACAGAATGTCGAGACGAAAAGAACATTAGCAGGCAGTACACATATATATATATATATATATATAATATGTTTATGTGTATATAAATACATATATGTTTATAATCTCGACGGTTTTCCGCCTCATCGTGGTAGGAAGGTCTTTCTAGCTGTAGGGCTGAGATATACAGTGGGTGGATTTATTCATTCCCCAGCAAGGTCTCTAAAGCTGAGAAATCCAGCGTTTCCACCAGGAAACCCAACCAAGAGTAAACCAATACCAGGATCCACTACCGTCCTTGTATCGAAGTCGCATGGTGGCAAATCTCCACCTGGCCCACAAGGGTAACTACTGCCTGTGGTGTTGACAACCTGGGACAGACTTTGGCCAGGTTGGCTTCAGGACTCCGGGCAAACGCAAAATCAGCATATCTCCGGAGAATGAAAATTATACTGGGGCAAGCAAAAGCAGTCAGGGTGAGCCATTCAAATATCCAAGTAGTTTATGATTTTTAATATAACCTAACTTCTCATATTGTAAAGTTCCAACCAGTTCAATGCTATATTGTATATAAAAAGATTAAAAGGATAAAGCTCTCGGCGTTTGATCAATCCCTGATGGATGCGCCATGCATTCGACCTCAGGAAGCATCGTTTGGAGGTGAGTGAATTCATATCTGGCCTTTACAATGATTCGCGGTGGCCTAACGATGTATCGAGCCAGTGCTGCTATCCTCCCAGACAAGTGTGGTATCAATTTGCCGACGCCGGGGAGATGGAAGGCTTGGTGAGCCACGGGCGAGGGTACCGATTCCACGCGTGTGCTGCAGGTCGCCTCCGACCACTGCGCCACACACGTCCTTTTGGATATTGTGTATACATACGCATATGTGCGTTTATGTGTACGTATATATGTATATGTATACATATACATATATGTAAATCCGCAGGTCTCCCTCATAGAGGGAGTTTATATCCGTATATCGCGATGAAACATGGCGAGCTCCCAGTTGGCGGATAGATTGTTCATCGAGTAGCAAAAGCGACCTTTGTTTCTCTGAGAAGCAGGTGGGTCCTGTTACGAGGACGTATATGCATGGACGCGTATGTGAGTGTGTTCTCATTTATGCGGATTATATTCTAGAAGTCAATTTGGTCAAAAGCATACAATCAAGTAACAGGGAAGCACATGACAGGCGATTAGGTGTCCAACAAATAAACTCCCCGTCTGCTCCTGGACAAACTAGCAAGCTACCCGCCACTATACCTAGACTCGAGGTTCAGAGCTCAGCAAGCTACATGTGGGTATCAAGAAACCAAACACAATGAAATAAACGGGCCTCATTCCCCTGACTCCGAAAGAGCCCCTAAACCGCAGGACGAGTATGGAGAGACCGCTAAAATCTCAAGGGCGTTTTAGGCTGCCTAAATCGCAAAAGACTACGATGACGGTCTCTACCTACAATGCACGCACACTTGGATTTGAGTCTCGGTAGAAAAGTTTATCATGCTGACAAGAAAGATAAGGTAAGACGGAATCCCACTGTCTCAGACAGGAAGATGCCACCTATTCAACGTCGTCCATAACACCGGAGGACTCTTACTCGGAACATACGACGGTAAAGGAGTCGGCGGCATCACTGTTCTCGTAAACATGAGTTTGGTCATTAAAATCGATTCATCTAAACAATTAAGAACTCGAATCGGAAGTTTACGTCTGAAGAGATGTGGATCAATAGCGGCTTTAACAATCTTCGTCGTCGTCGATACACCGAAATCAAGCTATGACGAAGACGAAGTCCAAGAGTTATATATGGACTTGGAGAAGTTCTACCGAGAAGACCATACATTCCTTCAGTTCATCATTACAGATTTTAACACTAAAACTGAACTCAGAAGAACCTCTGAAAACGTTACATTGTGACCCGCAGATTAGGATGGAACGAGCAGTGTGAGCTGCTGCCTGAGTTTGTCTGAGTGTATCATGGCGACCAAGACCATCCATGATAACTTGCAATTCCAAAAGCCCCACCCTCCACGTTGCATGTGGGAGCCTCCAATGGAGAGTACCATAACGAAACAGACCACACGATAGTAAATCGAAGATCACCGCATCGCTCGTGCAAAACTACATTTTCGCGGGAAAGAGCAAAAGCCGCTAAACTCAAAAAACGAAGTCCTGAAACCACTATAAACTGTGATTAATTCAGTTCATTAGTCTGCTCTTGCGAAGGTGCCATTCTTGATAACAGCGACGACGAATATGATCAGTTCATCCAACATCTTCACGTTAGTGGTCCAAAAGCTGAGAATTCTTAAGTCACCAAGAGATGTCTCTTTTCAGTAACACTTGAGCTGATAAACCAGCGTGGAAACGCATGAACTATAGATAACTGAGTATTCACACCCGAACATCCAAACCATGGAGGCAGGCGTTAAACCAAGATCTTAAAGAGAGACGAGTATAGGGGTCGAAGATGCGAAGGCTGGGGAAAACGTTGGCAAAACCTACCGAAGCTTCACTGATAACAAAACCAGAATGATTCCACTACGACGCCAAAAAGGAACAGCTACAGAGTCCAGAAAGACAATGGAGAAAATCATTCCTGATTACTACTCAGATTTCTTCAATAACCATGTCGTCCTGCTCGCATAACAGAAGAAACGATATCTCCGCCCTCTGGATCCCCCTTACGGAATCCGACATGCTATTTCGCCGGCGAAAAACTGGATATTAGGTCCAGACCGGATGTAATCTGAACACCCGAAGAACCTTCCGTCAGTCCTCTTAAACACGCTGGCACGGTTTTTTGCGCGCTACCTGTCAGAATGAAAAGTTTCTACTCAGTAGAAGACCATCAAGACGGTGTTATTGTTCAAGAACTGTGACCTCACGGTATCGGTGACTACCGCCTAACCTGCTTACCGCATGTCGTTTACAAACTTTTCACTCGAGTCATCCTAAACAGGATTGGTAGAACACTGATGGAAGGACAGCCGTGTAGTCAAGCAGGGTTTCGAGAAGGATGCAGCACGATGGACCACATCCACACAATAACAAGACTTATTCCAATATTGCTAGAGTACAAGAGAGCGCTCCATCTCACCCTGATCGATTTAAGGAAAGTTTTAGACTCAGCTGAGATAGCTGTCATGGAAGCCCTAGACAGTTGGACAGAGGGCGTCCCTACTCGGCATGTAAGGATTCTTCATGAGTTATATAAAAATTTCACAACCCAGATATCACCATACGAAAACGATGATAACATTGACGTTAAAAAGGGGTTAAGTAAGGTGATATCATCTCGCCAAAATTATTTACCTCTGCCCTCGTGAACATCATGAGAACACTGGACTTTGACAACGTGGGAGTGAAATTCGATGTCAGGCAAACACACCTTGTTCGCTTTGCTGAAATCGCCTCTATAACAAGAAGTGTTTGCCGGAGAGAACGATTGCTTGCCGATCTTGATAATGTCTGTGCAAAGATTGGTCTTTGACTAAGTCTCACAAAAACGATGTTCATGAGGAACGGATTGGTTTCGCATGCCCCACTCATGCTCAACGGAAAGAACATCTCCGAATGCTCCAGTTAAGTCTATCTAGGTCAGGAAATCAACATGTTGAACGACTTAGCTCCAGAGCTGAGCAGAGGAAAACGGGCGGCTTGGGGAGCTTTCAAGAGCATCGAGGATGTGGTGAAGAGGACAAAGAACACTCAGCTCCGTGCCTACCTTTTCGACTCCACGATTCTCCCTGCTTTTAACGTATGCGTCAGAGACTTCGTCCCTGTGTAAGAAGAATGAAACATCGTTCGGCATTATTGAACGCGTAGTCAAAAGGACGATACTAGAAAGTATTCCGTGTCACACAAGCAAGGGAAGGGATCCGAAACTGCGACCTAAGTTAACGGTCAAAAATCAAAGACGCCGTTCTATACGCCAAACTGTCGAAGATAAGCTGTTCCGGACACGCAATGCGTACGAACGACAACCGATGGACAAAAGCCGTAAGTTACTGGATTCCTCGGGATGTCAGACGTACTGGAGGAAGATCACCGACTAAGTGGCTAGAGCTTTTCATGAAAACGCTAGAAGAAAGGTATGATGTTCAACAAGTCATTGGTGTGCGCAAAACCCACTGGGCTACTGTTGCACGCAACAGCCAGAAACAGAAGATTTAGTACAGTACGAGCTAAAATGTGTTGCCTTAACCTTGAAATGCTTGATTCTCTCTCAAATTCTCGCATGTGGCAAACATCGACGCGAGTAGCGTAGTGATTTATGGTGTCTTTTAAAATGCACGTTATTAGCTCGATTCCACGCTCTCGGCTAGCCTAGTATACGCTTCCGCAAGTTATTGTAAAAGACAGAAAGACAAGATACCCATTGAGTTAACCATAGAACAACTGGTGAAATCAAATGAACCACGCATCCTTCAGTGATAAATCAACGCCTACTGCTTTCATGTTCTTTTATGAGACATATATAGCTCATATTTTTGTAAACAGTGAATAAGCAGAAAAAAAATTCGTTCCAGCAAATAAGTGATCGCTTTTAAACTAGGAGAGACTTCTTCAATGAAATTTCTGTGAAGCGTTGAATTCTCTGAATTTTTGCGACCAGTGTTGAGGATTTCTGCTTAAGGTGTATAGTTATAGAATTAAATCAAAGAAAAAACAATCTGGAAAAAACAAGAAGCTCCGTAAAGTTCTAGCAATTAGAACTAAATGAACGGCACTAGTTTTTGACGATAAGCCTGTTCAAATTGATCTGTAACACCAGCTACCAGTTTATGAGACATATATGAGACATACTACCAGAGAGAGAGGAGATAAGAGTTTGAGAGATGCCATCTTAATTTAACCAGATGCGTTAAAATCACAAGTTCTGAATGACGAAGGAAAAAAACCGGAAGCATCCTAAGTTTATATACTGTCCATCGTGTCAGAAACAAAGTACTGGAACATATCCATAAAATTCCCGACTTCTAAATGAGAGACATGCTCACCTTTAAGAATGCCATATCATCGTCCTTGGCTCTTCTCTTCGATGAGAACTTCTCCTTGAGTTTTTTAGCTTCTCGAAAGCTCTCGCTATCTGAACGAACACCGTCGGAAAATCCAACGGCAAATCAAAAACCAACAATTTAAGGTCGTCAAGGTAAATCTAGTATGTACTGGGCTTGAGTCCACATATGATACAACTATTCTATTCTTTCCTTCGATGTAGTGAGAGGAAAGCAGAAACTAAGTCTAGGCATATAAGAAAGTTTACAAAAACAAAAAGGATAAAGCTCTCGACGTTAACCAATCCCTGAGAGAACCGCCTTGCATTCGACATCACCAAGCATCGTTGGAGGTGACTGAATGCATATCTGGCCCTTACAATGACTTGCGGTGGCCTACCGATGCATCGAGCCAGTGCTGCTATCTTCCCAGATAAGTCCGATACCAATTTGCCGACCCCGAAGGGATGGAAGACTTGCTGAGCGTGAGGCGCTGGGATCGATCCCATGCGTACTGCAGGGCACTTGCGACCACTGTGCTACACGTGCCTACATGAGGAAGTCTACGAAGACAAATCGTTACTGACGTATTATACAGTATAAAGCAAAGTTACACATAAATTGAGAAGAAAATCAGGAAAAAATAAAAAACTCTACTTTGCACTTACACTCGTCGTTCTCCACTTTAGGATTGCGCCTCCTCTTCGATTTTTTGCTCCTAGACTTCTTGACGGGTTCAGTCGAAACCATTTCCAACAGTCTCGAATCCACCATGGAAAAATCGAGGAATACCGTAGCTAAATTTTATTCACGTGAATCCAAAATCGCTAATTTCTGTAAATACGGACTATCTTGTCAGTTGGATGGTATTTTATTAAAAGCATGTCTTACTTTTCTTTGTGAAAGGGGAGGTACTACGTTAGGTCTGTCGAACACCTTGGATTTTTTGGCACGCTGTATCAGATTTTCGCCCCTCAAGCTGATCAGAAATGAAGGTCCGATTCGCAATTGGTTGGTCCAGTACTTATTCGCTTTGTATTCTTTTACTACCTACTTAGATACTTGAGTGGCCCGTGCTTACCGGTTGTGCGGTCCCCAGCATAATTTCCATTTTCTAGAGACCTTCTAGTTCACCTATTGTGCTCCTATGGACTAATGAGGTCCGTTTAGCCAAAGTCTGACCCAGGTCGTCACCACCACAAGCATTCGCCGCCATCGTGGATCACAGGAAGATTTGCCATGTGACTAATTTGATACCAGGACCGTGGTGGATACTGGCATTGGTTTCCTCTTAGCTGGGTTTTCTGATGGAAACGCCAAACTCCTCAAAGCCAGAGCTTGGGAGACCGTGCTGGGTGATAAATCCCTTCGCTGTGCTTCGCAGCCCGATACCCAGGAACACACCTACCAGCCACGATGAGGCGATAAACTGTTGGGAGGGTATTTTTTTATTTCCGTATATTCTCTGTTTATCTACCTCTTAGCCTTTCAGCGACGTCTAATTTCGTTGCTAGCGATGAGCTCGTTGAGAATGCGTCTGCGAAAAATGCTCCTTGCTATTTTCTTAACCTAATAGCTGGTGATCGGCTCTACGTGTATGCCGAAAAAGATGGTACGTGAACACTGCAGCTTTCTTTTTTTCCTTCGAAGATGTTTCTGCGACTTATTTGCATTCAGGGTGGCTCGTAGGTTTACGAAGAGGGTTAAAAACTGAGGCAGGACTGTTTCCGGTGAACGCGGTCCAGTTTGTGAATCGACATTCAAGCACTGATCCGACCGCCGAGGGTGCGAATATCGTCGAGGAGGTTAATCTTGTCACACAGTCTTGGTGGAGAAGAATTAAGGTAAGGATTTATTTTTATGATCTTGTGAGCTGACGCGCTTATGGCGCAGTGATTGGAGGTGCTCTGCAACACACACACGAATCGATCCCGCGTCCATGGCCCACCAAGCCTTCCATCCTTCCGGCGTCGGCAAATTGGTACCAGACTTGTCTGGGTGGATAGCAGCACTGGCTCGGTACATCGGTGTCCCACCGCGAGTTATTGTAAAGGCCAGATATGCATTCAATCACTTCCAAACGATGTTTTATGAAGTCGAATGCATGGCGGATCACTCAGAGATTGATCAACGCCAGGAGCTTTATCTCTTACGTTATGTCGATTATTTATGCCGAGGTTTATAGAAAGTTGGTCTTTTGATTTATTAAGGTAGCGATGGATTTAGCACTGTAGAGCTATTTAGAGGTTGCCATTGTTCAGCTATAGTACTGTGTCATTGGCTTCTCTAAATCCGTGACTTTTTTTAAGGAAATTTACGTAAAACATTGTGAGATGCATTACTTTAACGAAGTCTTGGATTTTATTGATTACATGCTTTCTGTAAGGCAGAAGATACTATCAGGTTTGTTTGACCCTAGAACATAAGCAGTATTCTTTCTCTTACGTTGTTGTCACTTCTTTCTTGCTATTAGGAGGTGTTCCCACCGAGGAGCTGAACTCCTTACGTGTCCAGTTGGCCAGGAAAATAGATAAGGGGAATATGTAGGTCTTCTCTTGCTCTATGCTTTCGTTTTTTTTAAAGTTAGTATTCAGTTAGAGTGCAAAAGATCACCAATATATGCAGGCTACTCAGTCTGAACGTGACAATTCGTGATGAACATGGTTTTGCGTTTGACCCAGATAAGATCTCTTTCCTACAGACTTATGTCGAGCACCAAAATGCTCAAAAACGTGTGGCAATTGACGCTGGTAAAGTAAGTGCTTTATAATTAGCCGTGTTAAACTAGTTTTATCTCATCCAGTATGCTCTGCATCAAAATCAATACTTCATTTACAGACGAGTTCTCAAGACAAGGCTATTAAAGCGTTTTGTTTGCTGTTACGAGTGCAATGTATAGAACTCCAAATGAAATGTAACTGTGAAGTCAGTATGGTACTGTACGACTTAGAATCAAAGCGGCATATAAGGTGCGGTGGTGCACGTATTTTGTATGCATATTGATCGATGACCTCCCAACGGTTTAACGCCTCATCGTGGCTGATAGGTATTCCTGGGTGCCGTGCTGTGATGTACAGCGGGGGAATTAATACTCCCGGCAAGGTCTCCCAAGCTGAGAATGGGTTCGGCGTTTTCATGAGGAAGCTTAGCTAAGAGTAAAACAATGCCGAGATCCACCACTATCCTGGCATCAGACTAGTGGCATAGTGGTAAATCTCCCTCTGATCCACAAAGGCGGCAACTGCCTGTAGTGGTGACGGCCTGGGGCAGACTTTGGTCTTGCTGACCTACTCCGAGACTCCCAGGAACCACAATGGCTAAACAAGGAATACTCCAAAAAAGCCAAATTATACTGGGACGCGCACAAGTGAGGAAGAGTCATACAAGTATCCAAGGAAGTATTGAGTGATGAAGCTTTAAACTTTTCATATTTCTTGTGTTTTGCTTGAAGCGGTTCAACATATCTTCCAAGACTTTTTTTATGTTTTAGTGATACTTTCACTTTTATCTGCAAAAAGAACGAGCCACTCTGTCGAGATCTCAACATATGCTGCCTCTTCGCGGCAAGTTCCTTTTGTGGAATGATTGCCGAGCTTTGTCGCACATGATTTCTGCATTCTTCGTTTTTCAGGATTTCAGTCAAAGTGATATTGGGAGACGTGTGGTGTTGATCACTCGTGTAGCACACATTGCTCCATTAGAGCATTCTTCCTCCACATTGAAAAGAAATCAAGAACCTGCTCCGGCGAACTTTAATTGTCGTCAAGGTATGGGAAGGGTCTCTGGTTTTCCTTTCGAATGTCATTTTGGAGAGCAGTGGTTGACTTCCTTGTAGTTTTTGCCTACGATTTCTTCGATGTTAGTTCTATTTTCTCTAATCCACAACCGTCGCACGATGCAAAGGATAAAGTTATTTTTTTAAATAAGTGAGTTTCTGAAGCTCTTTGCTCATATTTAACTATGCGTTGTTTATAAGGAAATGAACGTGAGAATATTATTGTAGGGATCAGAACTTCGACCAGTCGTTGAAATATCTCCATACTATAGGGAAAGTTCCGAAAGGGAATACATCGTCAGGTTGGATATTTTTAGAATATGCTTCCGTTGAGACATAGTAACGCTGTTGGTGATGATACAAGTTCTTTAAATCGCTATTATTCTGTTTTGCTGTGCATCCTTTTCCAAGAATCATCACAAATATCGAGAATTCTTGGGTCAGATTCGCCTTCTATGGCGCTATTACTGGTTCAGCATCATGGATTCGTGGCTTAGTCAGATGTCCATGCAACATCGTCGTAGCTTTGTTAGCAATATTTGACCACTATTATATGTATATTCTTGAAGGAGTGCTTGTAGCGGAGTGGTCAGAGGCGCTCTCCCATAAACATGGGATCGATCCACGCGCGCCAAGCTCACCAAACTTCCCATTTTTCCGGGGTCGGCAGATTGGTATCAGACTTGTCTAGGAGGATAGCAGCACTGGATCGATACAGCGGTAGGCCGCTGCGAATCATCGTAAAGGCTAGATTTGCATTCAATTACCTCCAACGATGCTCGATGAAGTCAAATGTATGGCGCATCCCTCAGGAGTTGATCAACGTCGGGATCTTTATCCTTTTTTTGCGTTCTTGTTACTCACGCTAGCAATGCCTTTAAATGGAGTCATCCATCACTTCTCTTTGCTTTGATTTCTTATGCGGTTTTTCTGCTGTTCTTTGTTACATTTCGCTAGAATTTTTAAAGAAGTTTTTTTATCATTATTATTTGGTGGCATTTATCCAGATGATGCTAAAATACTCGTTTCAACTCAAGTATTCACGAATACGCTGTCGGAATTGAGATTGAAGAGGCCATACTTGTTCACTAGAAATCCACCAACAATTGTAAAGCGTTGCGATTATGCTGAACCGGCTTCTGGTAAAATAGATTATCTCTTCATAAGATGGTCACGACTGTGAGTTATCTATGTCTAGGTGATGTACGCAACGACTTATACGTCGATTTAATGTACGGAGAATTTTCTGGGAAGTCATCGGATAGAAATATAGAGGCCCGTTTGCATCTAGTCAATGGAAGTGGTCATGTTGTACAGGATGTGAGGAAGTGTACTTCTATCTATATTACTCCATCAAACAGCAGTGGAGATTCTGTCTGTTTTAACGGTTATATTTTTAGAGTTTTGAAATTCTGCGCCCTAATGCAGTTAAACTGTCATCTGACTACGAAAGTTTTGTGTATGTTCACGAGGACAAGCCTTTTTGGTTCGAAAACGTCAAGGTTTTGTTTAGATTGTACTAATAATGGCGACGTAATGGTTTTGTAGTGTTACTAACTGACAGAAAGTCCCACTTAACAATTGAGTTGAAGATTCGCTTGCCGGAAAACATCAGTGAGGATCTGCATCTACGAATAACGTTCTACTCAAGGAAACCATACGACAAAGGAAAGCCACAAAAAGGTCCATTTGCTCTAGCTCATATTCGACTCATGTGCAAATCAGTTCTAGTTCCGGATGGTGATCATGAGTTGCTTGTTTACAAGGTGGGTCTTTATCACGAATGTTAGCAGTACTCCTTAATATTATATGGTTACGAACATGAGGGCGGATAACAGAGTGGGAGTGATGTCCGTCTTCACGACCATAGTACTAGTTCGATTCTACTCGTGGCAAACCGAGCCTCTCACCCACCGGGGTCAGGACATTGGTACCGGACTTGTTCAGGAAAAAAATCACTCTCTGCAAGCCGATTGGGAACGTTCCGGCCCTGCTATCTCAAGACTCCGAAGAGAATCGGCTCGACTAGCATTCTACAACAATCGAGATGAGATGAAAATCCTCAAGCAATATCCAAAACCACATGTAAATTTGGAAGATTTTCGTGGATAATGGATGCGAGGAAACGAATCGAATGTGAGAATTGCTGGGATCATCACAGTAGATGTGAAGACGAATAATATAAAAATAAAAAAGTTACGGACATTGTTTGGTCATAGTTCCCAAGATCGACTTTCTCTTAACCTCGGCATTGGAATATGAATGTGTCGTTTTCTTGCTCAGCAATCGCGAGGTTTTTAAACAGCATACATTTACTTCCATAAAGAAAACACAATACAATACAACGCTAGCTGACGTTTCGGCAGTATCGCCTTCTTCAGAGCCTGGAAGGGTATACTGATATACAATCTACTAGGCCAAACGCTTCAATAACACTTACAAAAAGACAAAAAGCTCTACGGTAATTACATTGAGAAACATGAGAAACATGTTTCGAACAGCCACCTCTGTGTGCACTACCAGGGAACTAAAGGAAGAATCGCGCGACTTGGCCCGGCAAATAGCCACCTCCAATGGCTACGAAATAGTAACCCCACGAGATAAGTTTACAAGGAGAACGACGCGCCCACGCGAAACGCTTGGCCAAAACAAAATCCCGTTTATGTTGCCTTTTATAAGCGATGAAGTAAGCGCAGCTATAAAACGATGCTTAAGAAGGGCAGATCTAGAGGAATCGGTAGCGATAGTTGAAATACCACCGACTACTCTACGTCGCCAATTAGTTCGCAACCGCCTGTATGACCGTCTGTGTGAAACAACAAATTGCGTAATTTGCCCTTACGGCAGGGACGGTGATTGCATGAGTTCAGGTACGATATACCTGATCTCGTGTAACAATTGCGGAGATGAATATATTGGCGAAACGGGCAGACCTTTGTGTATCCGTATAAAAGAACACCTAGATGGCAAACGAAAACTAAGACGAAGCACCCCACTAGGCACGCATAGGATACAAAAGCATAGCGGAGACGATTTTGAAGTGAAAGTCAATATCCTTGCACAGGAGTCCAAAACACCAGCGCGAAAACTCCTTGAGGCTTTTTGGATCAATGCCAAAAGCCCTACAATGAATAGCAGGGATGAATGCCCGGAGATCATACGCGACCTGATCTCGTACGTTCGCATCGATTTTTGATGTGGGATGGTGCAGTCGTCAACCACATGCGACTATAATCAGCTGTTCTAAACTTCCTCATTGGAAGTCACGAAAAAGCGGTGGGTTTTTCGAGAAGTTGTTGATTGTGTAATTACCGGAGAGTTCCTCGTCTTTTTGTAAGTGTTATTGAAGCGTTTGGCCTAGTAGATTGTATATCAGTATACCCTTCCAGGCTCTGAAGAAGGCGATACTGCCGAAACGTCAGCTAGCGTTGTATTGTATTGTGTTTTCTTTATGGAAGTAAATGTATGCTGTTTAAAAACCTCGCGATTGCTGAGCAAGAAAACGACACATTGTTTGGTCAATTATTTATGTTGACTTTCTCAAAGCTAGTTTTCACCACCATATTCAAAGCTAATATCTCGGCGGTAAATCTTTCTTAGATCATGGATACTTGTGATAGAAACCGTTTGAGCTTTGTCAGCAGCGACGTAATGCATCACTCAAGTCGTGTTCAAGTTTATGATTTTATGGAAATCTCAAAAAGATTACTATTTTCCAACTGAACTTTTTTGCTTTCGAAAAACGTAAGGTTATTCCTGAACCACTTGTGAGAAAAACCAAGTTTAACACATCGTTCTTTAGGTATTATTTGAATGAACCTTCTGCTTTTGTTGGTACTTAAGCGATTGCAGCTCCTTTCCTGTTATTGGGCACGTGTGGCGCATTGGTCGGAGGCGCTTTGCAATGCACATAGGATCGGCCCCTGCGCCACTGGTCTACTAAACTTTCCTTCCCTCCGGGGTCAGCTAGGTCACTGCGAGTCTTTGTAAGGGCCAGATATGTACCCAGTCTTCTCCAAATGATGCTTAAGGAACTCGAATGGCTGACGCATCTTCCAGGGATTGATCTACGCTGAGGACTTCATCTTTTTTATTATGTTTTGTTATTGTTGCTCTTCCTGTTACCGCTGTTGTTGCTTTTATTGCTACATTGATTTTTGCCTTCTTTTACGTGAGCCATCATTACATTTACTGTGCCGATCCCAGGGCTTCTTGTATTGATTCGATTTGTTTTACTAGTATTTATTGTCCACAAAGGTCTTCGAACACTTCGCATGTCGTCCCGACTTCTGGTTGAGGAATTTGTCTTCATGAATGTCATAGAATGCTCGTCAAGTCGGCTCTCCTTGGAGTCTTGAGGATAGCCGGGCTTAGGCGTTTCCACATGGCCTGCACTTTGCTTCCTAATGAACTCCATCACTAACCACTCACCGGCTCCTCTAACCCTGAATGTCCACGGGATTTCGTTGCATGATGTAATGATTATGTGAGCTATACGATATGACGCTTCTCACCGCGGTGCTTGACGTTGTTGAAAAGCTTTTTATTGGTCTCCTATAAGTCATGTGTATTCTAAACGAAGTGGGAAACCCGGTGCTGAACAATTTACCAACCTGTTAATGTGAAAGGCTTACTGAAATACAATTTCGGACCAAAGTTGAGATATACTGATTGCAACTCAAATCAGTGCGTCGACATTCCCTTACCCACTTGCGGTGAAGTCAGTGATAGAAGAAACTCAGTTAGTTCTTCTGCTATCATTGTAGCATTTGCTTAATTAGTTAGTTTAAAGAAAGTTTGTTACTTTCTCGTTCCTGACGACAGGATCATAACCGCATATGTCCAAGTAGAGAATTGATAACAGAAAAGATGGTTCCGTCCAAAAATCAATATTCTGGACCGCGAACTCCCAGCTTGAGAAGAGAAAAATCATCTCAGATTCCTCTGGTGTTTCAGTTGCAGTTGGTAGCATGAAGAACGACAGAACTTCAGGACCAGATAAAATTACACCTAACTTAATTCGAACTGGAACTCTCAGACTGCATGTTCCACTCTGAATCTATGTGAGACCTGGATCTGATCGCCGACTTGATGCGAACAATATGTTCATGCCTGGACCAGTAAAGAGTTTTTGTCATCACTCAGTCAGGAAAAAGGCAGCCCACATTTGATGAGAGCATCCTGAGCCAAATTTTATGCATGTCTGACTGGCCGACTAAGGAAGGCCGGAATGGGCTCGCTCTAGGGAATCGTCGAGCATCATATATTTCTTCAAAGCCTTTTGTGAAGAACTCTAACCATCGGGTCGATGATCTTCCTGCAGTACGTTTGACATCCCGAAGGATCCAGTCGCTAACAGTTCTTGTTCATCGGATGTCATTCGTACGCATTACGTGTCCGGCCCACCTTATCTTCGACTGTTTGGCGTACAGAACGGCGTCTTTGATTTTTGATCGTTGACGCAGATCGGAGCTTCAGATCCCATCCCTTACCTGTGTGGAACGGGATACTCCTAGCATCGTCCTTTCGACTGCGCGTTCGATAACGCTGAGTGACCTTTCTTCCTGCTTACGTAACGACCAGGTTTCTGACGCATACGTTAAGACAGGAAGTACCGTTGAGTCGAAAAGGTGGGCACGGAGTCGGGTGTTCTTTGTTCTCTTCACTACATCCCCGATTCTCTTGGAAGCTCCCCAAGCCGCTCGTTTCCTTCTGCTCAGCTCTGTAGCTAGGTCGTTCATCATATTGATTTCCCGACCTAGATAGATATAACTGAAGCATTCGGAGATATTCGTTCGGTTGAGCGTCAATGGGTCATGCGAAACCAATCCGTTCTTCATGAACATCGTTTTTGTGAGATTTAGTCGAGGACCAATCCTTCCACAGGCTTTATCAAATCCGTCAAGCATACGTTCCGCTTGGCTAATGTTTGGTGTTATAAGGACGATGTCATCAGCAAAGCGAAGATGGTGTAACTGCCGACCATCGATTTTCACCCCATATTATCCCATTCCAATGTTCCTATAACGTTCTGGATGGTGGAAGTAAATAATTTTGGCGAGATAGTATCACCCTGCCTAGCTCCTCTTTTGACGTCAATGTTAATATCGTTGTAGAAGGGTGATACCTTGGTTGTGAAACTTTTGTACAGCTCACGAAGAGTCTTTATGTTCTGAGTAGGGACTCTTTGACTATCAAGAGCTTCGAAGACTGCTTTTATCTCAACTGAATCAAAGGCCTTCTATAAATCGATGAAAGTGAGACAGAGCGGTCTTTTGTATTCTCCCGATACACTTTAGTGACTCTTGTTATCGCGTGGATGTGGTCCATCGTACTAAATCCTTTTCGAAACCCTGCTTGCTCACACGGCTATCCTTCGTCCAATGTTCTGTAAATCTTGTTTAGGATGACTCGAATGGAAAGTTTGTAGACGAAAGACGAAAGACAGTAAGCAGATTGGGCGATAGTTGCCGATATCGTGTAGGTCATCCTTCTTGAACAATAACACTGTCTTGCTGGTCTTCCACTGAGAAGGAACCTTGCATTCAGACAGGTAACGTGTAAAGAGCCGAGCCAGTATATTTACTAGGACTGGCGGAAGGTTCTTCAGGTGTTCTGGTCTTATCCTGTCCGGACCTGGTGTTCGATTTTTCTCCGACGAAATGGCGTGTCGGATTTCGGAAGGGAGAACCGGTGTTACAACATGTCCATACTCCTTTATTTGATATGACGGGAGGTGGCCGTGGTTACCGAAGAGATCGGAGTAGTATTCGTAAATGATTTTCTCCATTGCCTTTCTGGACGCTATAACTAACTGTTCCGTCTGGGCGTTGGAGTGCAATCATCTTAGTCTTGTAATTGGCAAAACTTCGGAGGGCTTTCTGAATGCTTTTCCCATCCTCTGAATTTTCGACCACTGCTGCTGCTCATCTCCAAGATCATGGTTTAACGCCTGCCTACATCGATTTCCAAGTCCAGACGTTAGTTCGCGGTTGCCTGCAGCTCGTGTGATTCCGCGCTGGCGTATCTGCTCGAGTGTTTCTGGAGACAAACTTCTCTTGGTGACTTTCGAACTTTCAGTTTTATAGCGCTAACGTGGAGATATTGAATGTGCCGATCGTATTCTTGATCGGTGTTATCGACAGCGGCATCGTCCCAACAGCCGACTACTGAATTGAGTAAGTTTTTGAGAGAATTGGATTTTAGCGGCTTTTTCTCCTTTCCGCGAGAAATTGAATCTTGGACGAAGGAGACGGTGGTATGATCCCGTGTAGAACTTTGAGACAACAGCGACATCGGTTAGGCAAAACCTTATATTTGCTATGATGTGGCCTATTTCGTTATTGTGCTCTCCGCTGGGGGATTTCCACATCCAGCGTTGAGGACTGAGTTTTTGGAATTGCCAGTTACTATGGACGGTTTTGGTCGTAGTGATAAACTCAGAGAGCAACTCACTCTGTTCGTTCCATTCTAATCCGTGGGTAGCAATGTGATGTTCTTCAGACATTCTTCTTGGACCAGTTTTGGCCTTGAAATCTCCAATGATGACCTTGAAAAATGTATGGTCTTCTCTGTAGAGCTTCTCCAAGTCCGTATATTCGGTTTCTTCTTCGTTATAGTTCGATTTGGGCGCGTAAACGATGAAGATTGTCAGAGCCGAAATTGATCCACGTCTTCTTAATCGTAGACATCCGATTCGAGTTGTAAATTGTTCGAATGAATCGATGTTCACGGACAAACTCATGTTGTCGAGAACGCCGACGCCGCCAACTCCTCTACTGTCGCATGGTCCGAGGAACAGTTCTTCTCCGGTGTCATGGACGGCGTTGAATGGGTGGCATCGTCTCGTCTCGGCCAAGCCGATGACGTCGTACTTTATCCTTCTTTCTTGCATGAGCAAGTCTTCTATAGAGGACTCGGTTGCAAGTGTACGTGCATTGTTGGTACAGAACGTCACCATACTTCTTTGAAATCTAGGCAGCTTCCATTGGCCCTGTGATTTTAGCAGCCTCTCCGTACTCGTCCTACCCAACGCTGCGAAATTGGAGGCTCTTTTGAGATTGGGGGAATGAGGCCCGCTTTTTTTTAAAATGTGTTTAGCATTTTTGGTACCCACGTATAGCTTGCTGGGCTCTGAACGTGGGGTCTGGGTATGCTCACGGGTAGCTTGCCAGGCTCTCCTAGAGTGGACATGGAGCTTATTTGTTGCAGGTGACTCCTAACCGCCTTCCATATACGTCCCAGTCACTTGATTGCAGGCTTTTGGCCGAATTAACCCGTAGAATGCAATCCGCATAACCAAGAACGCATCCACACACAGAAAGTATGTGCCAAATCAGCGCAGCAGGAACAGGGAGCCCATCCCCTGGATACACCTGCGTCTCAGGGAAGCAAAAAGGTGCCCGCTGTATGTAGCGAAAAATTTCTGGCTGAGCTCAAGCAACAGCAGAACTATTTTGCCGGACACATGCTTTCACAGTTGCAGATCACGTCGAGTTCCACGCGGTCGGCCTGCTGGAAGATAAGGCAGGAAGGCCGCTGTGCGCTAATTTAACGATGTGACTTGCACAAAATGTTGCCACCTCATGTGGTCATTCTAGCTAAAGAAGAAGAGCACTACAAACAAATGCTACCCATCAACATGTGAATGTGATGAGGTCGACTTACAGGTATTCAGTGACCACGTAAAGGAAATGATAGCAGCGAACTACACACCTTCGAATGAGTTTACTTAAAAATACGAAGAGGTGATCGAGCAGGACACAGGAAAAAATACTTTACTAGGGCGAATGTTGCTTAATAAGGGACTAATAATCAATATAGTTAGTTCGTTTGTCCAGCATACATGAAGCTGTTATGTATTCGTTCGGCCAACAACTCGCAATCTTCGCCTTCCGCAGTGACAACGTTCCAGGTCGATAGACACAGGTGTTCATCTTCTCGATATTGTGTCTTCGTTGTCGTATCGCGTAGGATCTTCAGTTGAGCACAGCTTGAGTGAAAACCTCATTTGGCAGTACCCGTTTTGTACAAGACGGTTGTTGACTGATTGTCAAATGATAATGATATCTTTTCATGCCGCCATACGTTGCCAAAATCACAGGACCAATGGAAGCTGCATATTTCAAAGGACTATGGTGACGTTCTGTACCAACAATGCACGTACACTTGCATCCGAGTCCTCGATAGAAGACTTGCTCATGCAAGAAAGAAGGATAAAGTAGGACGTCATCGGCCTGGCCGAGACGAGACGATGCCACCCATTCAACGCCATCTATGACACTGGAAAAGAACTGTTCCTCGGAACATGCGACATTAGAGGAGTCGGCGGCGTCGGCGTTCTCGTCAACACAAGTTTGTTCATGAACATCGATTCATTCGAACAACTTGCAACTCGAATCGGACGTTTACGATTAAAAAGACGTGGATCAATTCCGGCTTTGATAATCTTCATCGTTTACGCGCCCAAATCGAACTATAACGAAGAGGAAACCGAAGCGTTCTATACGGACTTGGAGAAGCTCTGCAGAGAAGACCATACATTCTTCAAGGTCATCATGGGAGATTTCAAGGCCAAGACTGGTCCAAGAAGAATGTCTGAAGAACATCACATTGCTACCCACGGATTAGAATGGAACGAACAGAGTGAGCTGCTCTCTGAGTTTATCACTACGACCAAAACCGTCCATAGTAACTGGCAATTCCAAAAACTCAGTCCTCAACGCTGGATGTGGAAATCCCCCAGCGGAGAGCACAATAACGAAATAGGCCACATCATAGTAAATATAAGGTTTTGCCTAACCGATGTCGCTGTTGTCTCAAAGTTCTACACGGGATCATACCACCGTCTCCTTCGTCCAAGATTCAATTTCTCGCGGAAAGGAGAGAAAGCCGCTAAAATCCAATTCTCTCAAAAAAATATCAAATGTCTCAAAAACGATGTTCATGTAGAATGGATTGGTTTTACATGCCCCATTCACGCTCAACGGAACGGTTATCCGAATGTTCCAGTTACGCCCATCTAGTTCTCAAAATCAGCATGATGAACGACTTAGCTCCAGAGTTGAACCGAATGAAACGGGCGGTTTGGGGAGCTTTCAAGAGCATCAGGTAGTGAAGAGAACAAAGAATACCGAACTCTGTGTAAATCAGCGTTTACATCGCAGTCCAACACTTAGAAACATCGCTTGACCACAATGGGTTGATAAAATATTAAAGGACGGTAAGCCATTTGAGATGTGCTATATTTAAAAATGAATTCCTTGTAAGGTTTTGACATGTCTGGTAAAAGTTTCAACTCTTTCCGCCATATGAATTATCCTTTGGCTGTTTAATTGATTTCACCAAATAAATATTTTAATCTCCACCTAGCAAATGACATGTATTAAGTGTTATTTCAGATTGAATCATCGCATTATGACGATAATAACACTGGCTACTTACCTCTACCACAAACGAAGCGGTATATTTCTATGTTTTAATGCGAAAAAGGCAATGGTTTTTTTTTGAATAACGCTCGACATTCGTTTAATATTGAGTGGGAATTAGAAAACGTTTAGGGTTTTGGATAGTCACTGGATTAAATGTGGGTAATTTGAAGTTGAATTACCCAATACATTAAACAGCACATTACAGTGTACTACGTGATTTGGGAAACACCATCAACAAGCCGCATTCATCCGTCTTCTCATTGAGTGAAAAGAGCGTTGTGGCTATCAACACGTTCACTTGCTCTACGTTGTTAACTCAAAACGAGCACATTTTGAGCGTGTTAGCATGGAGGTCAGTTCCTCATCGGGAGATAAAAACTGTCTTTTTGTTGAATCATGCATTATTAGACGTGTTGCTGGGTGAAGCCTCTATTCCGATTAAGAAGCGCAGAATATACTTTAGAGGATAAAAAATAAAGGATAAAGCTGTCGGCGTCAATCAGTCCCTGAGAGATGCGCCATGTATTCGATTTCATAGCATCGTTGGAGCTGATTGAATGTATAGCTGGCCTTTACATTGACTCGCGGTAGCCTACCGATGTGTCGAGCCAGTGCTGCATCCTCCTAGACAAGTCTTGTACCAATTTGCCGAACCCTGAGAGATGGAAGGCTTAGGTGAACCTGAGCCGCCAGGGATCGATCCCATGTGTATTGCAGGGCGCCTCCGATTACTGCGCTACACGCGTCCACATACTTTGAAGAAGCGTAGCAGACTGTGATTATCATTTTTAGATGGTTTGTGGAAATGAAAGATATTATTGTGGGCGAATGACTTTTTTTCCACGGTGTTAGTCAATGGTGTCATTTTTCTCAGAAAAAACGTACTTCTGTTTTCCGTTTTTCGATTGATTGTGAAAGTATTAAGTGTTTTTTTTGAGTACTCCAATTTTATTTATTTTGGTTTTAAGTTTTCTGTACACTTAGCTTATTTCTTCGATACTATATAAGTGGCACTATTTAATAGAGATTCGAGGCCAAATTTGAACACTTCACTCAACGTGCTGGCGGCGCCTTTTGGCGATCTGCAAGATGAGGTATGGTTTTTCTAAAATTATCGAGCTTATTTGGTATCAGAACTTTTTTTTTCACGAAACTTCTTCATTTCCAATTAATAGCAGGAATTGTATTGACTGTTATTGCTACTTTTTTATTAGATGGTGCGATTCCTGTGTACACTGCTCGACGCATTGTTCGAGCTATGGGAGGAACGTGAACAACTTGAACTACCTGTATTCGATGTCATTGTCACATTACTAAAATTGACAGGTAGATGAAAATGCTAAATTTACCACCACATTTCATTTGTCTACTTATGTGTTTAAATTGTTGAGCTTAGTCGAGCTTGATAACACAGTTTTATTTGGCTAACGTTTCGACGTCGTTATCTTCATCAGAGCCAATGATCCGCATCGATGGTACACAGTTGTTCGTTTTGTCGAGGTGACGTTTGTCTCAAGAATCCGTCCACAGCAAGAATAAGGAGATGATGACGAAGACGTCGAAATATTAGCCATCTAGAACTATGTGATCAGCTTCGTGTTGGTTCAACAATTTGAACAAGTGTTAATTATTTTGCTACCGAAGTTCACTGACGGTCGGTTCGAAAATTATCCATTTATATTCAATTTTGATGTATTGAGGTTTCCACTTTGCATTCTTCAGATGAACAGCGCTACAGTTGGAGTGTGGAGCTATTGAAGAAATACCTTGACAGATTCCCATTCTGTAACGCTGCGCTGTGAGGTTTTACTTCTATATGTTTGAAAAAATTCATCTTTGATTCTGAAAACTTAGTGGGTATGGATATCATTTACATCGTGGAGCGGCAAATCTACATTATTCTTTATTTAACAAGTGTTGAATTTTATTTAACAAGCACAACATTGTAATCGAGAGTCTGCCGAGACGAATTTTTTCCATGTTGTTAGCCTTGTTAGGTGCAGCATAAGGTCATTTTAGCTTGATCGGTTATCAGTGGCTTTGCTTTTTTAGAAAATTAATGAGATGCTTAAATCACTACATTGCAAGTGCTTCTACGGATAATAATGAAAAGACCCGTAATGCTTTGAAGGTGATGGGTCACATTTTTCGAGTAGTAATTCAGTCGAAGAAAAGTAATAACAGGTACGATCATTCTCGTTTTTCTTCAAAATTTGAAGAACGAATTGTCTTTTCTTTACAGTTTTTGTGATGATCCCTCGTATGGATCGAGTTTTCGATCTCATCTGGATAGTGTTCTGGATTCGCTGGTCCACCTGATGGGTGAAGCTAGAGAGAGAATGACGGTACAAAATACGGCTCTTAAACACCTGTCGACTATTGTTGTTCCAATTTGCGCTAGCGGGTCATTCGAACCACCTGAACTTTGGTGAACATCTGTTATCTTTTCTCACTAGCGCTTTGTGTTAAATTTGGCCTTATGGTTCTTTCAGCAAATTTTTCGTTCGTGTCATTAATGCTTTTGGGAAGAATATCGTTGCACGTGAGCGTCTTGGACTCGTTTCGCAATTGATAGATACTCAGTTATTTGAGGTCCTCAAGTTTCCTCTTTCTCAGAAATCGATAATTTTTCATCTCTTTGTTAACTTTGTTTCGTTTCAATGTTTAGAGCTATTTGCAGTTGCACTCCTGTCGTTTGATTCTGCTGCCACATTGTATCGATTTGATATTGGTACAGTTGGATCCTGATACAAGTGATGAGCGTGAGTTTCCAGACAGGGCTGTGGAATGTGCTTCTATTATCAGCAATCTTGTAGAGCGACTCTTTCCAGCAAAAGTAATCCTTCTGTCTCTGCATGTTTTCCTGACACATTAGTAATTTATTGACTCCTAGGTAGATTCTAATGATTAAAACAATCAGTAGGGATATTTAGACCGTTGCACCGTTGTATCAGTATGGTACAGATGAGGAGCTAAATTTAATTATTAACGCAACCTATAGACCTTTAGTATTTGCTATGGTTAACGTTGGACAACATCATTCAACGGCGAGTTGTTGGTTGTTTTTTTGTGCATAAAACATTCTATTATAAATCAGCATTACGACACAGGCTTTGTGATTAAAATGTAGTAACCACAACGATGCTGACATATTCGCAAAACATAGTCACCTGGCCAGCTCGAGCGATGATTACCTTTTCCTAGAGCTAGCGTACTACACACTGCGCCACGGAAGACCTTGCTTTACTTTTCTCGCAAAGAGAAAAATAGACGAATGCAAAGCAAGGACCTCGATGGTGCAGTGTTTAATACCGAAGTCCTTGGAAAGGGTAATCGTAGTTCAATATGACCCGGTGTCCAACTTTTGCGGATATCTCAGCATCGGTGTAGTAATATTTCACATCATACTGTACCGTGAAAATTTGTAGTAGGCAGCAAACAAGGTGAACATTAAAATGTAATATTTTAGAATGATGAAATCAGGGCTCGATTTTTTTCCCTTATTCTTGCATTGCTCAACAAAATGTCTGCCCAAATATTTGGAAATTACATCGAGAATCGGTACTTATGCCTTTACGAAAGCTCACTAGTATTTTTTATCAAGGAAACTTTTTAGGCCAAATGATATCGATAAAATGGACTTTATCCTGGAAATGTTGCAGATGATTAGAGACCTGCTCTGTAAATGTCCCTTTCCGTCCACATGGCAGCAAATGATTATGTTACAAAATAAGTACGTTGATTATTGTATGTTCGGTATGTATTCTCTTATTCTAACATGCCTTTGCTTACTTCTTCAGGACCATTCATAAGGCACTACGTTTTCTTATGAGTGCCATACAAGGATATTTTTCAAACGAATGCGAGGGATTTTATTCAGATGTAAGCTCTATTAGTTATGGATTTGCTGCTGCTAAGAAATTCTCATATCAAGTATCATAAAAATTTAACCAAATAAGGGACGACAGTATACGACGATCAGGGCGAAGTGGAGGTAAATAGAACTATCTGTTTTTCTGAGTATCGACATAACTGGCCCACAGCAATATAGATGAGATAAAATATAGAAAGCTCTAAAAGCTCTGGGCGTTGTTCAGGTATTGACCTGAAGGGTGCGCCATGCATTCGGCTTCATTAAGGACCTAGGTGATTGAATGCATATCTGGCCTTTAGAATGACTCACGGTAGCCTACCGATGTACCGAACCAGTGCTGCTATTCTTCTAGACAAGTCTGGTTCCAATTTGCCGATCCCAGAGAGATGGAAGACTTGTTTGGCCATGGGAGCGCGGATCGATTCCACGTGTGTGTTGCAGGGCGCCTCCGACCACTGCGCTACACGCGCTCTTGGCGTGAAATATGTGAAATAGAAATGTGTTGATGCCACAGTGTTTGAGGGTCAGTAGTCGTTATTGCATTCGAAACCTAGGTATGGCAGGAGTATATGCTGACAGCTGTATGTTTTGTGACACAGCCATCGCTACAATCAAGCGACGAATGGTTTCATGATGATGCCGATGCGCGTGTCCAGCTCCGAAAAGCAGCCGCTCGTGATCTGCGCTCGATGTGGTTCCGTCTGAAACGTGATTCTTGTTCCATTGTATATCGAAAAAGAGAATTTCATTTGTATCTCTTCTTTCATTTCAGCTCTGCAAAAAATGGCATACATTCCTCGTCTTGTTGGGGCATTTCTCAAAGTAGCTCTAGTTGAGGACGATGAGACTCGGGAGGCTACAATTCCTATATTCTTCGACATGATGCAGTGTGAATTCCATTCGTGCCTTGATGATCCGAAAAATTTCAAGAAGGTGAATGACGCGCTTATTCTATCGGGTAGTTTGATTTGTTGTGTGAAGCAAGAAAAAAAAAGAGGCCAATTCTAATGAGAGTGGAACTGCTTTAGCTTGGTAAACATTCCATGTTATCAATCTCAACGATTTCATTTTTCACTTTTGCTGGAAAACTTTCAGTTCTCTGACGAACTAATAACACAGCTAGATAGCTTGGTTGATCAAGATCGTGGAACTAGAGCGTTTCAAGAGCAATTTACAAGGATTTTAACGAATCAATGCCAGTTAGTTATTCAATTTAGCACTCTGTTTTTTTTACCAGTCTTTTTATGTTTTCGATTCGTCGTTGAAGCAAATTTAGATCAGACAAAGAACTGTGGGAAGGTGGTGGTCGAGATCTGATAGACAGGGTTGATCGCCTCCTAGGTCATCTATTCGAATACAGATTAGTGAGAGAAACATCAGATTGCATGGAGAATGCTATGAGTAGAACTGTTCAATTACTGGTAAGGAGTTCTTGTACTTCTCTTGTATAGCCTGCAATATTATAATGATTTAAGAATGCTTTTAGAGGTACTATGAAAAGTACAAGCACCATCATCTCTACATCACTTACGTGTACAAGCTTTATGATCTTCATATGCTATATAATAACCAGATAGAAGCTGCCAGAACACTCATGCTTCATGCAAATACACTGAGTGTAAGTTAAATGCTTTTTTTTTTCTCATCACTGAGAAACTGTTATTGCCATATTACTTACATACTTGGATGGCCCGTCTTCACTGATTGTGCGGGCCCTAGCATATTCTCCACTTTTTGGAGTTTTGCTGGTGTAGCCACTGTGCTGTGCTTCCCTAGAGTCCCGAGGACAGCCTGGCCAAAGTCTGCTCCAGGTGGTCACCATCACGAGCAGCCACTACCCTTGTGGATCAGAGGGGGATTTGCCACCATGCGACTACTTTGAAACCAGGACGCTAGTGAATCCTAGTGTTGGTTTACTCATAGCTGGGCTTCCCAATAGAAACGCTGGACTCAGTTTGGGAGAGCCCACCGAGGGGATGAATCCTCCTACTGTACATCGTAGTCCGATACTCGGCCACCTCTTAGTTGCAATAAGGCGGTAAACTGTCGTGAGGTATTGCCAAATTACTGCGAAAAAACTGGTTATATATATACATATACGTATATTTTTAACGGAAAATATATAACAATAACAACTCACGGCTTTTAACGATATATAATTTATCAATTCAAAAAGGTGTACATATATATATGAATTTGCATACATAGGTATATATATATATGTTTGGGTGTCTGGTATATATATATATATATATATGTCACATATATATATGTAACGTATCTTCAACGCGTCAGCTAAAATTTCAGTGGGAGGATACTGAAATAGATGAGTCACTAGTTTCGAGGCGGCTGAACCGACATTGCGCTGTCGAAAGGCAGCTTAAAGATAGCCTACTTTGTGAAGCGGCCGACCTTTTTGCAGAAGGGGAAATGTGGGAAGATGCTATAAAAATTCTGAAGTAAGTTCTAGATGTTCTGCTTACCATAGCCGGCTCGTTGAACGTTTATATCTTTAGGGAGCTATTGCCAGTTTATGAGACCACTTATGTTGACTACGATAAGTTGGCTTCGCTAATGGTTTGTTCCACTTTTGGTCGAATTTTGGTCTTTTGTTGTGTTGTTATTTCTTAAAACTGTCTAGGTTAGAATCGCTGAACTGTATCGGAAAATCGATCGGGAAAATCGTGCTTTTTTCTATTACTACCTTGTAGCATTCTACGGAAAAGGCTTTCCTAGTTACTTAAATGGAATTAGGTTGGTCATTTGTCGTATTTTCTACAGTATCCTTCGGTTATTGGTATATAACTAAGAAGGGGATTCACTGTGTTTTTTCCAATTTTATCATTCCTACACTTCGAACATTGAAGCCATGAAAATGCGGCATTTAGTAAATCAAGTTTTAAATATTTGAAGTAGAATGAAGGCATAAAGATTTTTGTAGTGAAGTCTCACAAAGAACTCACACGCTGTTTATTGTGTTAGAAACCAGCAGTATCTTTCTTATCTTTTCTAGTGTTATTTTGCAAGGTATTAACACACCAAACATGCATTGAATACAATGCACTTGGTGTCCGCTATCAGCGACTATCGTCCGCTATCAAACATAAACCAATGTATTTTAGCTCTATATTGGACTTCCTTAACTGAAGTAAAAACCGCTGAAATGTGTAGATTTTTTCCTACAATATGCAAATTCAATATCTTATTCTAACAAAATGATGTTATGATTTTCTGGAGGCCTCGGAGCGTATTTTCCTCCAAATTTCTCATCTGTGGTCGTATGTCGAGAAAGCAATTGGATAAGGTAACTATGAGGACAAGTTGGTATTTCCCACCATATCGTTGGTTTTTGCTCCTGTGGAGGTTCTTCTTCGACGATGAGATACCTTTTTTGTTTTCAATGTTTTCAACAATGTTTATGCTGCAAAGAAGGGCACTATTTACCATGACTGTTCTAATTGGATACGAGCAATTTCCAGTCGATTGTGGACTTTATGGTTTTTTGAGAAAATGAAATAATTTTTTCAATAACTAGAGTGCTTTGACCTCCTAATGGTTTATCGCATCATCGTGTTTAGGAGGTGTTCCTCAGTGTCGGGCTGCGATAAACAGCAGGGCGATTCATTCCTTCCCCTAGCATGGTCTTTCAATCTGAAAAGGGGTCCAGTGTTTCCACTAGGAAGCCTAGCTAAGAGTAGACCAGTACCGGGATCCACCACCGTCCTGATGTGAAACAAGTCGCGTGGTAGCAAATCTCCTTCTGATTTACAACGGCGGCGACTGCTCGTGTGGTGACAACCAGGGTCGGCCCTTGAATAGGCTAACATCCGGACCCCAGGGAACCACAATGGCTAAACCACCAAAACTCTTAAAGAATGGAAATTATGCTGTGGCCCGCACAATCACTGAAGGCGGCGCCTCCAAGTAAATAAATATGAGTGCTTTAAGCGTTGAGAACATGACACAGTTTTAGAAGAGACTTTGATTTATAGTTGTATAGCAATGAGTGTTGTATGTACTGCTATTTAACGTATTTTACTATGGGTTATTAGGCAAATGCATTGCTGTTAGCACTAGGAAGTATTTTTCAGTCTGTGTTGACTCTATTTTGATATTTTTTATATCTGCACGTTCCATGCAATGACCAAAGCAGTTTAAAATAAAATAACAGTTAATTGTTATCGCAATTACTGGAAAATGAATCTTTTTTTCGGGACAAAGTTTTTATCAAATCCCTAAGTGTAGAGAATGGTTTCTTTGGTCTAACCTCTGCTATTTTGATCTGCTCTAGATTAGTTATCGAATGAATCTGGATAGGCCCTATAAAAAAAATTCTGGAACGGAACAGAATGGAAATAGACATCATGGTATAAGTCTTAATATAATCACTTTTTATTTACGGCCTCTTCGTTTTTCATGGTGGAGTGTTTTGTGAAATATAACTACAATGACGCTGAGATATTTGCAAAACTCGGAGTGCTCAGGTGTCTGCGATGGTCTCGAACACGTTATTACCCTTTTCGGGGGAAACGCGTTCACCTCCACACCATTCGGGCTCTCAGCCGTGTTATTGGCCTATAGGTGCTATCAGCAATCACCCGTCAACGGAATTTATCTGGGGAGCACAAGTCGGCATCGAACCCAGTTAAGCTGAAGCTGTAGTCACAGTTTTGTCACTTTTTGTTTACTAGTCCTTTGTCGGGAGTTTTGTTAATATCTCAGCATCGTTGCAGACATTATAGTGTCTGTACTGGTCAATAATCCGAATGCTTATATAGGCTATTGTATCCATGTCGTTAGGGGTTACAGTTAAAAGAGTCAGAGTCATTATACTTCCACGTGATTTCTGTGCGGTTGGTCTCTACGTGACATACTTAGTGGAGACCTCATAGAAAGCGGCTCTGAAGAAGGCTAAATTCGCCGAAACGTCAGCTTAATCGTGAACAAAGAACAATAACACCTCGCGTTTGCTCAAAAAAAATACGAACAGTTAAAAGAGTTTTGCTTAAAGCTACATATATCATTAATGAAGAAGTATCTTCTGTAATTCAGTAAATGTTCAAACTTCCCGAATAGACCAGTGATCGAGAAAGCATCATCAGGTTTTGGAGGGCTAACTTTGAGCGGTGTCCCTCTTACTACCATACATTAGATACATGTGCAGTAAGTATTTTATAGAGGCGGTGAGCATACGCTTTAAAATTTACTCACAAAGTAGAATCCCTCATTGAACCGCAAGAAATGTAGAACACTTGTTGTAAAGTAATATGATACAATTTGCCTTATCGTTGGTTCCAAACGTTTTTGTGTACTGATTTGCAAACCGCTTTAGTATCATATAAACTAATACTTTCTCATATTTTAGTTTTGTCTTCCGAAGTGACAAACTGGAGCGTCATGCTGATTTCATGCAACGGATGCAACAGGTGTGCTTAGTTCAACCATTCATAGGTTACTTTTGTAACATTACTTAATGAATACTTGGATGACATCGGGGCTTTTTGTTTACCTGACTGATACAATACTAGTTTGGTAAACTTCTCTGGAATTCCAAGAATGCCTTACCATAGCGTTACTATGTCTTCACCACAACAATTTACCGAACTTTATAGCTCGGATGTAAGTTGCTTTTTGTCATGTTGAAGGGGCTGTGGTAACGTCTGGTATTGATTGATTCTTGCTTGGGCTTCTATCTTGATCCTTTAACTCTTTATTGATTGTGGTTGCTCTGTTGAGATTGCATCCCATACTGTAGAGGGCATAATGACACCAAGAGAAAACCATTCAGTCACCATGAGGTGAACCATTGTAGTGGGCACTTTTTTCATAATATTGATTCTATTGATGTTGAAGTAGGTGTGTTAATTAGCTTGGTGATGTAACGACTAGATTTTGCTTAGAGTAGATCTCACAGATATGCTTTGGTAATACTAAGCCGAAGATTTGTCATAAGATGAAAGAAATAAAATTACAAAGCTCTGAGCGTTGAGGAATGCCTGAGAGATGCGCCATGCCTTCGACTTCATTAAACATCGTTAGAGGTGATTGAGTGCATATCTGGCCTTTATATTGACTGGCCGTGGCCTGCCGATGTATCCAGCCAGTGCTGCTATCCTCATAGACAAGTCTGGTACCAATTTACCGACCCCGAGGAGTTAGAAGGCTTGGAGAGCCATGTGCGCGTGGATCGATTCCATGTGTGTATTGCAGGGCGCTCCAGACCACTGCACCACACGCGCGAATAACAAAGCAAACACTAGTAGTATTAACAGATATAGAATATTCCCTACTGGATAAAGAATAGTTTTTATTTAATCTCCATCTCTATTTTCGTTGCTAGAGCAATTTGTGAGGAGTCTTGTCATAGATCTACGGAGGAGCTGAAGCAATTATGTCCATGGATGATTGTACACACTTGAAAAACTCGCCTGGGCGTTTTATGCAGGCTTGTTTTTTCTTTTCTTCTGTGATTTCTTTGTGCTCTTTTTGCAGTTTTATTCTTTTGTATGTTTAGGTATTCAATATAGACCCAATATCCACTTTATGCCCTTTCGAGGACATCCATGTCAATCCATCTATAAAAGACTATTACCGTCACTACAACGTGGGTTTCTGTCCTGTCTAATGTTATCTTGAAGGGCTATGTCCTAGTGCTTAAATCATACATTTGCATTTACAGATTCGAGATTTTGAGTACAGTCGCGTAGAAGAACGAAAGGATACAAAATGGACTACTGTTAAAGACTCCGAGCTCATGCGCACTTGGATCGTAAAACGGACCGTTGTCACATACGAGCGATTGCCAGGCATTCTTAGATCAACACAGGTTAGAAAGGCTGTAGAAGACATGGATGAATGCTTTCCAATTTTACACGTTAACACGGCATACGGGAAAGTATCTTACATTACGTTAGGGTTAGCTGTTGTTCTGTTAGTTCAAAGGAAATTACTTTTAAAACACCAGTGTCTAAGCATTGTCGATGTTACGAAAGGGGTATTATACGTGTTCTTTCATCGAAAAGCCTGCGCGAGTTTGACATAAAAAATCTTTTATGGAAACTTTTTATCAACCTCGTGTTAGCTTATCCATGAATGAATACGTAATGGTCAGTTACGGCGAAGTTAATGGAAAGTTGGCTTCGCAGATGATTTAAACGTTTAACCAGCGCCGGTGATGAAACGATAAACTACAATCGTCTGTACTCATTCATCAATCACTTTTATTTCATATACATGTCTCGTTTACAAAGCACTGTATTTTTGAGATAATCTCAACTTCACCTCCCATGTATGTTTGCCCGTTGCGCCGTTCTGTGGATCAAATGCAACAAAAAAACACCGAACTGATGGAGACTGCCCTTCTTGTATTATTGGATCGTGTACACGCAGTGAAGAAATTATCTGGAGAAATTCTAGGGGTAGTGCGTCCTGCTGTGATGGGTGGTGTTAGCAATTATGAGGTTGGATTCTTTTCTCACCTAGAAGCGGCAAAATATCAATTCGATGCTGATGAATGATTTATATTCTCAAGGTGTTCTTCTCCGACGAATGTGCAAAAATCTACGATTCCGAAGAGAAACAGATGGCTATGCATTTGAGTGCTCTTATTATTGAGCAGGTATGTTTTCATTCTAAACACACTTTCTATTGATGCATAAATAATGATATCGTTAAAATCTAATTCCATTAAGGTAGAAATATTGGAATTTTGCTTATACGCTCACGGATCAAGGGTTGAAATAACGAAGCAATTCCACGACCATCTGGTCGAAGGATTCTTGGAGCATAGGCAATACATTGAGGACAAATTTGGAAGAACTGTAATTACCACAAATCTTCTCTTTGCAGTTTTCAGTAGAATGACTGCGATTGTTCAGCGATCTATTCTACCACCTGGAGCTTCCATACAATATTCCCTCGACGGTTGCGATAGTGACTCTGGCAGAAAGGTTATCTCGAGCAGTTCACTAGATGCTGGGTGGGTGTGTCTTGCAAATGCAGGAAATAGTTTGACATTCATTAAAGTGCAACTTCGAAGAGAAACAGAAACAGAAATAGAGAATTTGACATATATGGTTTGACAAACAGGCTTTTCTAAATAGATATGAAAGGGACTTTTTAGTGTTCAGGTATTTATTTGCAGCTCAACGGGAACTTTGAGATCGAGAGGGGCTGCAATCGGATCGACTATGCTAAGCATGTTGACAACATCCAGGAAGTCAAGCAGTCAAGCGACAAGGAACAATATTTCGTCATCTTCTAATTTGTTAGAGTACCACTAGTTTTGTTTTCTCACATAATGCTTATCTATCGCTATTTTTCTATGTTATACTTTTCCCTCAAAATTTATGCTTATTCTAACGTTTCGCACAGAACAAATAACCGCACTATATCTGAACGATTTGATGCTTCGAAAATGTTCGCAACTATGCGTAACAGTAATGCAGATTCGTTACGTTCACCAGCTCGTTCAAGCAGAAGGCCAACAATTGATGGGATGGAAGGTGGTGGTATTCTGTACGAGATGACTGGGTTGTTGCCAAACTCAGATAATAGTAATTCAATTGAACTAGGTATTCGACTTCGATCACGTGCCAGAAGAAGTGTAGACCAGCCGCCTGCTCCACCACTTCCACCTCGCTTGCAGTCAACGAAAACGAACGATCTTTCTACGGAATGTAAAAATATATTAACAGATCAAATTCATAATAAGGTAAGGACGACTTTAAGGTTGGCATAAATAACAATGGAAATTTTAATAGGGCGTAGTGCACAGTGATGGAAAAAATTTGTTACAGCTGAGTAAGAACTGTTATGCAGAAGTGGTAGATTTCGTTATGTTTTGTTCGTGGGTCAAATTAATTTCCAGACATTTTTTTAGATAAGACTTAGTAACCTCAAAAATTGCATTTTGTTGTTATCCCATTAAATAAATAAATAAATAAATAAATGTATGTATGTATGTATGTATGTACCTCCCAACAGTCTATCGCGTCTCATCTATCGGCTTGGAGGTGCTCCTAGGTGTTGGATTGCGATGTACAGCGGAGGTTCGTCTCCACGGCAGGGTCTCCCAAGCTGAGAAGGAGTCCGGCGTTTCCATCAGGAAGTCTAGCTAAGAGTAAACCAATGCCAGAATACACATCGTCCTGGTATTAAACTAATCGCACGGTGGCAAATCGCTCTGTGATCCACAAGGCCGGCGACTATTTGTGGTGGTGACGACCTGGGGCAAACTTTGACCAAGCTGTCCTCGGGATTCCAGGGAACCACAATGACTTAACCAGCAACCATCTCCGAAAAATGGTGATTATGCTGGGGTCCGCACAACTAGTGAGAAGTATCAAGTATCAAGTACATTAGGTGATAAGAGGAATTCTTGATTGCAAAAAGACTTTTGCTTGTTTTTCTCGAAGGCTTATTTCTTCTTTGTCATATGGAAACATATGTGTGACGTATTTCTACTACGGTAAACATTTCAAGGAGATAATCCAACTTTGTAAAAGATGTACTGAGGACAGAAAGGGTTCAATTCCCATAATCACATATGAAGATCACGTATACTTTCCGGGAAATCGAAGCTTAGCCTGTTAATATTTTTGTTATTTACAGTCACCTCTTCCGACACCTATAATGGATATGACCGATCTGCAGCGATTCTGACCTTGATGTTTCCGTCTTTTAAGTGTCGGATTGTGTTTACTGTTTTCAAAGAAAGAGCTTATTTTACAATAGGGCTTCCTTTTCTGGTAGGTGTGTAATGTAGATGGCATTGCTGACGAGTGTATTTTTTGCTCACTTGTTTCGCTTTTATGTTTCACTTAAACAATTTTTTTTCTGCAGCTCATTTCTCTTAATCAAAATAATTATTGAATTTGTTTCTTATCTAATAATTATTATGCTCAATTAATTATCTAATGTTAACCCTTTGTCAGACGAAGTTGTCACACTCTCATGAAGCATATTTCTCTAGTCAGGTGATTGTGCATATTATTATTTTCCTGTGCCACTTTTTGAATAACAGTAATAATAGTAGTAGTAATAATAATAATAATGATAATATTAGTAGTAAATAATAATAAGAGCTAGAATAACTTTTTAAACGGCTCTTTCGTTTTTGATGCGATTGTGGAACTATTTTTCTTGAAATACAACCACAACGTTGCTGAGATATTTGCAAAACTCTGGACCGCAGGTGTCTATGGTGGGGAACGAACGCGCTATTGTCCTTTCCGGGGAGTAACGCGTTCACCACCACACCATGCGGGTCCTTTGTTTCGCACGTCTCTCAGCTATTTCTATCGATCTTAACGTTAAACATTGTGATTTCAACTACAGCCATAGCTTAACTGGGTTCTATGCCGATTTGCGCTCCCCAGATCAACCCCGCTGACGGGTGATTGCTGTGGCAAAAAGATCGATAGAAATAGCTGAGAGACGTGCGAAACAAAGCACCCGCATGGTGTGGTGGTGAACGCGTTACTCCCCGGAAAGGACAATAGCGCGTTCGTTCCCCACCATAGACACCTGCGGTCCAGAGTTTTGCAAATATCTCAGCAACGTTGTGGTTGTATTTCGCTTACTTAGTAACCTGCCATGAAAATTATAGAAGGCAGAAAACAAAACGTTAAATATTTTTCTTGAATTCGGCTGTGTGGATTTTTTCTTTATATGAACAGAAGTGAAGATTTGTAGATGTATGAAAAAAGAGAGAAGCTGTTTTTGAGTAGGTCGCCAGTGATTCATTCATTTTCTTTGTTAGATAACAGAAATTGGCTGTATTCAGGTTTTCCTAGCTTGGCAATGTGTACGGATCTTTATCAGTAAGATAAAAGCCTTCTCATTAAGTTGAAGTACATGTCCAAATGGTGATAGCAATGCGATTCTACGATAATTTGTATAGCAGCAAATAACAAATACCATGTAGAATGAAGTAAAAAGTATCTTTAAAATATGGGCCAAAGTTTCCTCTACAATGTTAGGCGTTGTTCCAAGTGGCGGCCACCTAAGTTCGAATGTCCAGCGTTACGGTTTAATCTCAGTCTCCAGGGGTTTTTATTGTGCAGGTCAGATTTTAACGACGTATCTGATAGTTCCCGTAAGGACTGTTTTTGGTGTTAACGTATGTAGTCCGCAAATGAAATATACAAACGTTATATTCCATGAAGACGGAGGAGAACAGAATTTTAGGCACGCATCAGCGGAGTTGCTCACTTTTCAGGAGTTGCAATAAGTACCATGGCATGTTATCTATAGTATATCAACTAGGTGGTTCTTTGCCACACTATTGGGTATCATCTCAACATCAGTATGTTGATGTCACTGAAGTGAAACTTTGTGTAATAAATTCTACAAATACAACTCTGATGAAGTACAACCACAGGGATGCTGGATGCTGAGATGTGGACGGAACTCGGGACCTCAGTTGCGCTTCGGAACCGTGATTACCTGTGTCGGCGGCTCATGTACTATCCACTAAACTAACCAAAACCCTTGCTTAGCATTTCTCTCAGCCATGTTGTACTCTATCGATGCTACCAGCAATCACCCGTTAGCGGGAACGATCTAGAAAGCGCCACTATGCATTGAACCCAATTGACCTAAAACTGCATTTGAAATCAATGTTTCACGGTTTTATTCACTACCCGTTCTTTTTTAATAGCAGGGTACGATATGAAATGTCGAAAGAAAGGCAAAGGGAGGCCTTTGGTTGATGTGGTGGATAGCAAGCGAACCCCCAGTAAAGGTAATCACGAGTTCGTAGCACGCCTGAGGTTCCGAGTTCTGCTGATGTCACAGCATCCTTGTGGTTTTACTTCACATCGTATCCTGATATGAAAAAAGAAGAATAGTAGAATATAGAATGTAAGACATCATTCCCGGATTTGGGACCAATGGAGCGTTACTTAATGACCTAATTAGTGGTCAAAAATTTGTTTGTAGTAGCACTTATTATTGTAAATTGATTCGAGAAAATTACGGACGAGTTTCCTTTTTTGCACGAACCACTGATGACATACAAATCCATGCCCGTGCAAGACAACAAGTAAGAAGCGTAAGTTAATATTGTCATTCATTCGATTTTAATAATATTTCTTAACTTTTGTGTTATATAACTCGTATGAAATGCTGAGATATTTGCAAAACTCCGGACCACAGGTGTATGCAGTGGAGAACGAACACGCGCTGTTGTCCTTACCGGGGAGCAGCGCACTTCACCACTACATCATCCGGGTTCCACCATATTTGCAAATATCTCAGCATTTCATACGAGTTATATTTCGCAACATAACCTGCCATTAAGAAGAAAAAGGCAGTAAATAAAAGAGTTAAGATTTTGTGTTATAATTTCGGAAATATGTCGATGATTGAATATATGAATCGAGTAATGAATTCCCTCTGCTCAGCCTTTCAGGGTTTGTGGTAATTTCGTGCTTGAGATTACAGATTTTGTAGGTGACTCGATTACAGAAGTCTTAGAAGTGGAACTGCTCGCTTCCATTGGCTTCTTGACAGATGCGGTCCTGTAATATGGCTTTTGGTTTTAGTTATTAGAGATTTAATGTAATAATAATATAGTCTAATAGTGTGTATATACAAATAATAATAATATAGTCATTGGCTTCCCAACTATTTACCAGCTCATCGTGGCTAGGGGGTGTTCCTAGGTGTCGGACCGCAATGTACAGCGGGCGATTCGTCCCCACAGCGTTTTGAATAATGTTAGTTGCGCACCGGATGGTCGTGCAGGAAAATGGACTTTTTCTTTTAATCCTTTCTTGCCCTAATTGTTTCTTTGGGATTCAGAAAGTTGTAGAGAATTTGTTCGACTGTAGCTCAGCAAACCGTCATCATAATCTCCTCCTTGTGCAAATACATGAACAATGCTTAGGAACTTCATCCTGCTTCAACGGCGTTGGTGAACACCGTCGGTGATCGTATAGGATCCAATTTTTATAGCACATCATTATGAACTAGGTCATTTCAGATGCAGAGCAGCAAACTTCGTAACAGAAAGCCCTTTGCGTAGTTTTTCGAGAGAATACTCAGTCTATTGCCTTCAGATGATCATCATGAGCTGTTGATGGGTGTGAACGGCGTTATTTATCATCAATACTCGTCTAATATCTCTAGAACTGAACTTGTCGAAGCATGTGTGTGCTGTGTTTCGGAAACGGCTACCAGTCCTCATTCCTTGATCACGTTTCAACAGTGTTATTTCAACCAACATAAGGTTGTCGGCTGATTATATAATTGGAAGAAGCGACACATAGACGGAGAG